CACTCTGTCCCTATATATAAGCTCCTCTCTCTCGTTATAGAATTCGATTAGCTTCTTCAGAGCCGTATAGGGGTTAATTATAAATTGCAAAGTGAGTCATAATTTATTAGTAGATTCTCAAAAAAGATATTCCCAAAGACTTGTGTGTTGAGAATACAATTATAAAAATAGCAAAAGGGGAAATGGTAGGTTGGGGAATGCTTCTAAAAATTGATGGTTCTGAATAAAAAATATCCCGTTCCCCGGGAATGTTGCTTTATCAGATACTTCCGTAAGCAACGAGGGGAATCGATTTTCCGCGATTGCATATTGCATTCGCAGCGTCGGGCTCGAGGAAAAAGAAGATCATATCACATGCAAGAAGGCAGTTCTCTCGTTAAGCCAATCAACGTTGCCCTCTAGCAATTCTCCTAACTATCCTCGGGGAAAGTAGTCGTAACGCGTCCTAGTTTCGAGAATCACCCTGTATTTCGCGGAAGGGTAGCTTTTTACAGGGTGACTGAGCGATCCACGAGAAAAATCGATGGTCTTTTTGCCGGTGGACGTCGAGGAACAGGCTCTGAGGGGGGACAAATGAAACTTCTTGTCGGTGAAAGAAACGGAAAAGGAGGGATTTCGTGTCGTCCCTGTGATCAACCACGCGTTCATTGCCCAACGTAGATCGCGCCGTGGCGTCAAAGTTCATCGTACAAGGGTCGTTTCCGGGGCCAAGGAGCAGTTTTTTGAAGGGGATATTTAACTCGAACATTCAACGTACAATTGTAAAACGATCTCACGATTGATTGCAAACGTGTTAAGGGTAGATTTACAAAAACCAGAAAACATCTGGAGTGCCATTGAGAGAGCGTCGCGATTCGTCATCGAATCTAATTTGCCGTGTAATCGTTCCACTTTCGAGAAAAGCGCGATCACCGGAACGATAAGAGGAAGTCTTTTCCATCGGGAAAGATTAGACGTTGGAACAACCGGAACCGGAGAATCGGAAAAAAGTTCTCTACGCTCGTCGAAGAGACGCCTACGATCATTTCGCGATCAACTTCCGGACAATGGCGGACAGCGAGGAACGTTGAACGCGTACGATTACTATCTAATGAGACGCGTAATTACAAATAACGCGAGTCGTTAATCACGCCATTGTTCTTGGCTGAAGACGAGCGGAGGGAACTTATTAAAAAACGACTACGGCGGAATTAGCGTACATTCGCGTGGATACAATCCCCGTTTACCGCTAAATAGAGCTAATCACTTTTTTACGCTCTCAACAACGGTCGCCTCTGTGCGAGAATTGCACGGCATTCGTCTGAATGAATATTCAAAGAGCACGGAGAAGCGTGCAAACATTTTCTGGCATTATACAGAGCCCTGAATGCGTCTCCGGCAATTTTCTCTCTGAATTATACGGGCTGAGTACTGCAGAAATTTCTGTAATCTGTTAGAGTAGTACACGTTCATATATATTGAATGTAAAATACAATTTGTTACTATTGGAGGTCTTTATGCAAGTTAATATCTTTGTTAATAGTGTGGATGGTGGAGGAAGTGAGAGCGCTTGTGAGAGAGCGTAGCCCCCTGGTAGCGAGCACGAGAGGTGACGCAACAATAGAATTAATGAAATGGGAGCTTTGTAGAGGGTTAATCTTATGTTTTTGTATATCAAGTGCATTCTCTATAGTTTGTTGAGGATTAATATTTCCCATAAATGCATAAACATCTAAACTAATGATAAATGAATTTTATCCGACAGGCACGCATTACCAACACCTTCCGGAGCGTTGTTCGAGGGTCTGTCGCGCGAAAATGCGAGGGACGAGTCGAATATGGCACGAGACCGTCGACAAGAACACGCCAATTCTCCAGCTTGGAGATTTATGAGCCGTGGTTTAAGGTAAACCGCAACGCGAACAACCGATCCCCCTTTCGACCCTCTCTCGCGGATTAATCCACAAACCATGAAGGTCAAGCATCGCGTTCCACGAGTGTCATTTTTATTCCCCCCCCCCGGGCAACGATAAAGGAAACCAGAGGGAAAAAGAGAACTCCTAAAAATCACGGGAATCCAACGAACCGTGCAACCGCGAGAACCCGGTGGTTTTATAATTTTTTTTAAACACAAACACCACCGATTAAAGCTTGAAAATATTATCAACAACAGAAGGTTCATTTAATAGATAAAAAATCACCGCATTTGACATTAATTTTCAATTAAAATTGTCAGCTCGAGGCAGCCATTTTGGTTCCAAATACGAGTTTAAAAAAGCGAATCGCGATGCGTGCCATTTATTATTAATATTATCCGGTGGAACGCGTGGCTCGAATCGCTGGAATTATATCAGCGCCCCTCAAAGTAAATTCGCGAAATAATTTTCCGAGCTGACGTGTTCCGCGTCGATCAATGTCCACGGTTCGTATTGTTCGGCTCCGACAATGTGCACGCGGATGATTGGCTCCTCCTTTTCGCGAGTAACCGATAATCCCGTAATGCGGAATTACTTATCGAGCGGACGTTCGATTTGCAAGCGGGAAGCGTCGAAGAAACAGCCCCGGGGAGCCGATATTGGCTCCCGTCCTGGTCGCAAAAATTCCGCCGCCTTCGAACGATAAGGTCGAAAGAAGCCGGAGCGTCTCGGAGCCACCGGCGGGCAAGAAACTTCCACGCTCGAGCGGGCCGAGTCTCTCCGCCGCTGGAAAATCGAACCAGCTACCGGCTCCACGCCGAATTCCCAGGTATTTCGGCGTACGTGTGTCTCTGAGAGCGTGTACTCCGCGACTTACTCCACGAGGATTCGCCCCGAAGTCGCTACGGAGCTCCTCGTGCCCGCCGAGGGCGTTCGAGGCGCCTTAAATTATTCAAGAGCAAGTTTAAGACCTCTGACTCTCGACGATGCTTGGATCTAATTGAAAAGATGATCAGGGAGTAACAGGTGCCGGTGAAATATCGATTGTTATCGACAGGGTAAACGTAATCCCTGTAATATCGATTGTTATCGACGGATTTATCGATAATTATTATCGATAGGGTAAAGATAATCCCTGAAATATCGATAATTTTATCGATAGGTAACCCCTGAGATTAAATTTGAAATATTGACGCCGTGAGAACCACGTGTCGTCGTCAGCCGGAAGTGAATAAAAGGAAGCGATCGATGGAGCTGCGAGATTGCGTCGAACATAAATAACGTGTAAAAATAACCGATGGAGGCTGAGGGGTGTTTCTGGACGAGAGTAGACTAATTTTGATCGGAGATTTGGCTGGTTCGAACGGGAATATGCGTCAACGATCGAGAGCGCCGGGTGAATGGGAATTCCCGGTTCGCGTTCAGCACACGAGTGGTCTTTGAATCGCGTTATTTCGAGGTTTTTAACGTCGAAAGCTCCGGGTCTGGCTATAGGAAGGTAAACTATCGAGCTCCGGGGCCGCCTCGATTAGGAAGACAATGGATTGTCAAGCTCGAGTGCTAGCCAAACTTTTCCCCCTCATCCAATAAAGCCACAAATCCCCCTCGGCTAAATCTCTGTCGTACATAGGGACTCCAATACACAGATAATATCAGTACCGAGATATAAAGTGTATATAACCGGGAATCTGAATAGCAAACTCGTGAAATCGACGAGGAAAAGCTCAGGAAGCGCTTACTTTCCGGCCGTCGCGCGGCAACCGGGGGTATTTGGTATTTTGACTCTCGATCGTGCACCCTCGATCGTAAAATCGAGAAAACGTTACACGTATCGTCGTACTTTTCTTTTACGTAAAATCATAAAATTGTATTCGAAAAAAAAAAAAGAAATTCTCCCTAACGGACGTAATCTCGATTCGAACGACCGAACACGAATCCTATTATCAATATCGTATTGTTGGACACACTCCCGGGGGATCCCGCCGGAAGCAGCGAGATCTTGTTTTCGTTAATGCCTTCCCCTCGGAGATGGCCGTCGCGAGCAGATAATTCCATAAGCGACGTCCCTCATTCGAAAAATTCTCGTTTTCAGAATTCCCTCTCGAACCGGCGGCTTTGTTTGACGTTGAAACGCACTCAACGCTGGAGGATCGAATGGAAATTGGAAATGCGCCCAAAACTCCGGGAACGGACTCCTAGGAAACAGCCAACGACGATGTTTGCGCCGCGTCGAGGGAAGGACAAATTAATCTATTATTTCGGAACCTCATTGTCACCGGGGATGAAAAGTGTAGGGGCGAAGAAGAAGACAATGGAGACGCCGGTCCTACGTATTCAAGGACCGGCCTTCGAGAGAAAAGGATTTCTCTTAGGAACCAAGAGCAATCTATTTCGAATTCCTAGGACTCCCCCTCTCTTCTCGCGATAGTTACATAAGCGTCGCGACAATTGTTTTGAACCGTTAGCCACGCTAATCCCACTCGTTAACCTGTTAACTGGGCTTGGACAACTTCACTCGTCATTTGCACGTCGTTCTTTATTACTTCATCCACGGGCCCCCTAATTTTATTATCGAGTAAAATCGTTTTTAAGCGAGGCTGATAGAGTGATAGATTGTTCAAAGTTGTCTCAGCAAAAAAATAATTTAAGAAAAATTTTCAGAAAAAGAGTACCAAAAGACTTATAGTCTCTTTCTGAATATTTACTGAAACTAAGATACTACTTGTGATTAACCCATAAATGGATTATTTTACCTAGTGTTTAAAAAAAAAAAATAATTATTAATATAAACTTCAAGAGGTCTCTAATAATCCACTTAAGGGTTAAATAGCGCTAAACGACCTCGAAAGTAATTGTAGTAATCGTAATCTAGTAATCTTGCGCAGCGTAGGTACCGTTACAAATGGCGGGTAATTTGAATGTCGCTAAAAGCGAGTCAGAGTTTCTCGGTTAAAATTTCCCCCGGGGAGGAAACCTGGTAGCAGGATTAATTGCTTATGCGAGTTGCGAATGGGGAGGTGCTACCGGGTGTCCTTTGTAAATGGTATCGGAGGGTCCCGCTAGCGACGCGACGGGATCTCGCCCGACCGGTTTTCTCTCTCTCACCTTGTCAATCGGCATTGAAGGGCACGCACGACAGAGGTTCCAGAATGAACCAATCATGAGGCCGCAGTGTGTGGGGCAGTGGAACAGTAGTGACACACAGCCGCTGCAGTAGCGACGGGGCCGTTCGGACGACGGGCACGGTCGTCAGGCCAGGTTGATCTCCTCCCGAGGACGTGGCTCCTCGGCGTCGTAGACGCGGCTACACTTGCTTCACTTCCTCTCCTTCTTCGACCACCTCCACCACTAAACCACCTTCAAACTCCTCCTCCTCTCCTCCCCTTCCTTATTCTCCTGCTCCTTCTTCTCCCTTCAAGGCAGTATTCGCGAGCGGCGTTCTGGCGTCCGGCTTGCTCTCTCTCTGTGTGTGTACCATGCGTACGTGTACGTGTGTATATAGTCGTGTGCGTGTGTGTGTGTGTGTGTGTGGACGCGCGCGCGTAGCACGCAGGCACCCGGTGTAACGCGTCACCAGCGTGCGGCGGTGTCGTAACGACGGAATCGGGGAAAAAAGAGACAGAAATAACGCGGTGTGTCGGAGGGTGCAGCCTTAGCGGGACTTTAACCCTTTGCACTCGTGGTGCGTCTGCCCCGTCGGTGCAACGCGACCGTGTTTCGATTCCTATTCGTTTAAACACCGGCGTCGGATCAATCGGGGGGGGGGGGAGGGGGAGAAAAACAAAATGGAGAGAATAGAAATTTTGCTAGATTTTCTCGGTCATTCGGGACGATTGTCGCGTTAAAGATATTCAACTTGGAATCGCGAGAGTTTGGGGGGGCAGTCGTACCGAAAGAGCAAAGGGTTAAACTCGTAGGATGTCGAAGGTCAAACAAACGGTTCGAGGGGTGAGTCACGGGGCCGCCCTCGGACTCTGCGGGTCGCGAGAGAAGAAAATCAAGGACGAGACGTTGGAGGCGAGGGCGCGTAGACACCTCCGTCGAAGGTTACGTCAGAGTTCGTCGCGACGAGCCGCCGTGAGAAAAAAAAATAAACGAAACGGTACCGCGGGACACAAAGAAAGCGAGAAGGAGAAGAAGAGACGAGAGACACCCGGGGAAAGCAAAGGAAGGGGCGGGCCGTCTTGCAAGGCCTACCACTCCATCCTCTCCGTCGTTTGGTTTTCCGGCTTCCTCTCTGGTCGGGCCACGGGAGAGCCTTTCTCTTCCTCCGCGTAACCGGCGAATAAAACTTTCACTCTCTTTCGGCGTTCGAGATCACGATCGTGCGTGCATGGATCGGAACCAGCGTTCACCGGCTGAAATTCACCGCATCCGGTCTACCGGGATCTCTCTTTTGCGTGGGTGTGCGTGTACGCGCGCGTGTACCACCGACGACAAGAGATCGGGGGAGAGGTTCTTTCGACGCACGCGGCGACACGTAAAATGTTCTGTGAACACGTACCCGGCGTTTTAGACTATCTGCACAGCACGCACTCCCTCTCTCTCTTTCTCTCTCTCTCTCTATCTCTCTCTCGCTCTCTCTATCTCTCGCTCACACACACTCTCTTTTCTCTTTTTCTCTCCCTCTCCCTCTGTGTGTCTCCGGTGCTGTGCGTCTTTATCGCGAACGTGCAGCGACTCGTGTACGAAAGAGAGATCTATATGTCGACGATAGGAAGTAACACTCGGACGCGTATACGAACGGAATGACGAGACGGAGGGCAGAGCGAGAACGGAATCGTGAGAGGCACTGGTCCCACCGTCGCACCGATCCCACCGACGACGTTGCGTAGAGCGCCGCGTCGCCGGCAAGACGCCTCCACGGTAGAAGGGGTTGCCAGAGCGCAGGCGTCCGACCGGATCGGGTCGATAGTCCGCAACGTTACTCCCTGTTCTCCTCCTCTCGTTCTCTCTTCGCGTCCATCGCGCCTCTCCTTGTCCGTTTCGCACCGTCTTTCCCGCTGGATTCCCTCCACCCCTTTCGTCCACCTCCCCCGCCCCCTCCCCTCGCCACGTATCGAACTTCAACACTCCGCCTCTTTTTCACGATCCTCGCGATCCTTTTCTTCTCCGCGGTGTCTCTCCTCTGTCCGTCTTCGGTGTCCGCGTACGCCGGACCCTCCGGTCGAGAATTTATCGAGAAAAGTACACCCTCCCAACTCCCCCCCCCCATCTACGTCTTTCATCCTAAGGTTTCCCTTTTCCGAGTTTTCTTTCCTTTGCGCGATCGACTCTTCCCCTCCCTCGATCTGACATTCTCTGTCTTCTTTGTGGGCCCTCGTGTACTACGAGTCTCGCCTCTCTGTCTCGATGAACTTAGGGGTTTCCTCGGTTTCTGTTCCCCGTCGTTCGTTTTCCGTAACGTTCCCCACAGGTACGTGCATTTTCGAATTGCCTTTTCAGCCGCGGCCCTTCGGGGCCTCGATCTTTGCGCCCCTTCGGCGATCCCGCTCGCTTCCGGGAACCGGTTACTCCTTATCGCGGCATTTCCGTATTCTCTTTGAAACTTCGCCGACGATGCAGGCGAACCCGTTGCCCTTTGTGTCGCACGAGACTCTCTCTCGTCTCGTCACTCGTAACGTCGTAAAATTACTCTCCCCCCCCGCGATAATTCTAGAAAATTAAATCGGTAGGTTGGGACAGGTTCCTCCATGTTTCGTGTTTGCCGATGCATTCTCTCGACAGACACGATTTCTAGCAAGTTTCCTTCCTTTTTCCCCTCTTCCTCCTAGCGTTACGCGGTGCTCGATCGTGCGTCCTTTTCTGTTGTTCGGCGTCGTTAGTCGTCCCGTTCCCGTGGCAGGCGCCACGATGTCGAGGCAGCGTCGCGACGCTGGTAACCTTCCTGCGGCGATCCCGCTATAGGCACGTTTTGCGGCGTTTCGAACCGTCGAAACCGCGTTAGAACAATTTCTACCGTCGTGCGGCCAGCTTCGTGGACCATCGTCGTTTATAAATAACAAGTCTCTTTTTCAACGTGCGATACAAGGGTATGTGTCACAAGTCTTGTACTTCGAATCCACCCCCTTGGAAATCAATTGTTCCATACAGGGTGTTTGATCATCCCTGGGGGAAAATTTAGTAGGTGATTGTAGAGACCAAAATAAGTCGAGAATACCAATTTGTTAATCGAAGCTGTGTTAAATGTTGCGCCTGTGGGTAGGCAACCTGCGTACACCTGCGTAATACCTGGTAGTGGCTCTCAGGCTCAAAACTGTAATGCTGTCGATACGTCAGTAAATAGAGTGAGAACCACTATGCACATTGATTGTTAATAACAAAGCCTCGATCAACAAATTGAAGTACTATTTTGGCCTCTAAAATCTTCTATTCAAATTTTTCCCCAAGAATGGCCGAACACCCTGTATATTTGTAATATTATTACAACGCAGTAACTTCATCGCGGTCTGCTAATTTTTATTTACTATTGATCGATACTTACCCCCCTTTTGGCGATAAATATTCTATAGTGTGCTTTGGAAACTTGAGACTGACGCGTGCATTTTTACCGCGGAAGAAAATACGCGAAATTGCGAGCATTTTGCGGGAACGTTTCCACGTTTTGGTACGTCGATGGTCCCCGGGTCCTCGTTGCCGAGAACAATGGAGGGAAAACGAAACGAATCGCGAGCCAGACGAGCGCTCGAAATTCGCGAAGTTTCGGAAACGCAGCCCCGGCGATATGGGTCGCGGGGCACTGATTTTTTCCCCCCAACGAAATGTTCGGCCGATGCGCGAATTGAAAAGCGTCGAAACACGCTCGGGGTGATTCATCGCGGATCGTTTCGATATTACTCGGGAACAGAGGGCGGGCGGAGGTGTGTACGTTCGAAAACAAATCATATCGCGTATCGTTATTTGGCCGAAAGGGTCAGCAGGGTCGGGAAGACTTCGAGTATGTCAGAGTTTACGGGGAGGGGATTCCCTGCTTTTCGGATTTAACTGGAGATTAGGGGCATCGAGGTATCAGTTCGCGATCGTGGCGTGGCGTTACCTCCCGCATTCACCGCCAGGGGGCTACGCTCTCTCGCTAGTGAGATCGACCACCAATTCCTATATATATACACTCCGGGCCCCCTACAAAAAATGTTCCCCTCCCTTTTGAAAATTAATGTTAGATGTTTGTACAAACTCGTTATCAATTTTAATTGAGTTCTTTGAAAGTTGTTAATTGATAGAGTTTAATTATGTTCTCTAATTAATAGAGGAAGAGTATGAGATGAGTGTAAGCGTGTAATAGAAGTCGATATTTAAAAATCTAATATCGTCCAACCGATTGGAGAGGGAGTGTTGCAATATTCGAGCAAAACTGCACGGTAAAAGTCGCAGCCTTCGGCTACACTGACCGGGCAGTCGAGTTCTTCCGCTTATTGCTTCATCTACCTCGTGAAATCGCTGAAGAAGAACCGATGTTCTACCTCTACGGTTGACTGGGAAATGCAGTCGATATTGCTGAAACGTTCGGTGACGGAACGACCCCGGAGCCACGGCAAACATCGATCACTAATTTTAAAATTCGTATCGAAAAAGACGCGGTATCTTTCGTCCCCAAGTTAAATATACAAAGGCGTTGCGTGAATCATGATATATTTAATTATCGAAGCGTGTTCGGGAGTCGTCGAGTCAGTCTCGCGAATGTTTGGAAGAATCGTGTCGGAATGTTATCATAGTTATTTTTAGGGGGGTGATCGCCATAGACGTTACGTAACGCTGCCGTAATATATCCTACTTATCCCTGAATCGCTTATTTTTGTTGGCGGGATGGACACGCCTGCCAACCATATATTCGACCAGTACGCTTCCATCGACCCGGACTCTGCTTTTCCAGCGATGTTCGCCGTAGGCACGTAGATGTTAGCGTACGTTAAATAACATAACCGTGACCCAAATAATCCCTAACTCTCTGCCTTTCTGTCCACGCGATATCCTCTAAGATGAAAAAGCAATTAATCTACGAAAAAAACCCCCGTACAACACGGTACTTATGTTTCGTAAAATTGTAATCGACTATCGAATGTTTATACAATGCGTTTCGTGAACAAAGAAAACAATATGGCCGAAAACATGGCGCCCATAAGTCTAGATTCCGAGTTAAAAATGTAACAAGCTAAATTCGACACTCCCGTAGGTCGCTATTAATTAATTAATGTTATAAACTCGCTTTGTGCGCCCCGATACGCGCGTAATTCACCAAAAGGCCGTCGATTCGTATTCGAGATCCACGTACGCGCGAGAACACATCGTTAATAAGCAATTATCGCGGAATTCCGGCGAACGTCATCGCGTGGCGTACCCACGGGAAAGAAACGCACGTGTGGCCGACATGCGAAATTAATACTTACCTTACTGTTATAAATATTCATGAGCCCACGTGGACGTGGCGTGCAAGCCAAAGGATAAAGCGTTGAATTTTATATACCGTCCGACGAACTATTTACGGCTAGGATAGGAGACTATCGCGTATGCAGGCACGAATTTCAGCGATCTCGACATGCTTCTAACAGCGCTGTTGCAGACTGCCTCCGAAGATACGAAAGTTACTATTGAAAATTCCTACGCGGGATGCATTTAAACTCCGTTGCTTTTTGGGAACAAAGATAACTTCACGGAAGTTTTCCCGCGAACAATAACGCTGATAACAATGGTCAACAAATTCTAAACAACTGCTTCTATTCGTTAGGATCGTTCACAATAGTCTGCAAAAATGGCCCTTTGATAGAGATTAGAACTGATTGTTTTGAAGACCTCCTGTACTCGCCGCTAGAGGGATCGTTCTCTCGCAAGCGTTCGACCAACCTTTTCTACTTATATACACTCGTCAATTATGTACTTAATATTCCCAAAATCAAGACCCCGTAAATTCTAGCGTAATTACAAAATGGTCTACGTATCGAGGCGTATTAACTGTTTAAGTGAGCTATCTAAGGCAATAGTTCTAAATCCACCGGTATTTCTCCATTGATACTCGACTTGGACAGTTATGCTCGGTGCTTAGAGTGTCGTTACTCGGGCATAAATCGGCGCAAGAAATTGTAAAACTGCATCGCGCGCGGTTACACAGCCGTGCAATCATTTCCAGCGTGTAATTTTCTTCCTCAACGGCGGATGAAAATAATTCCAATGTTTGTATCCGGCTCCCTAACTTCGCGCGAGGAATCGCGGGATTTCTAGATCAGTAATTTTGCAATAAGACACAATTCGAGTCCAGCGTGTGTGTATTTTAAAAATCAGTTGTCCGGGAAACCTAGATTTTCGACGGAATTTTCCAAGGAAAGTCACCGTCAGTCCCCACACAGCATTTTAACGAGAAAATTAATTTGATGGAAAAAAATTGCGCGGCCGGTTGCATTGTTGTTTACACGGCACGCAGTAAGTAACTGTCCTAATTTACGCGGTTAATTGAAGGAGCCCCGTTCCCCCCGGCCGGAAACCGCGTTTTTCCTCGCCCGTCGATGCAACGGGCGAGGTATTTCCAAGTAGTGAGAGAAAATAATGAAATTATAGGACATTATGATATTTAACAAAGAGCAGAGACGTTGGCGGCTCGATTTAATTCCCTTTCCGCGGGAATCCCACCCACGGAGTCGTTAAAAACGAACCGGAGCCCAGAGGCGACGTCTATGCAGGCGCAAGTGGGTTAATTAAAATCTTTAGTCGGCCGTCTCGCCGTCTACGCCTATTTCCCCCCGCTCTTACCACCCCCCGGATTTATCACTGATCGTCAGAAATTTCTATAATCGTACGGAACAATAGCCGTTTCCGAAGTTTCCACGGAAACTTATCTCGCGCGACGACTGAGCAACGGTATTTCGCCAGGAACAATAGGTACAGCTAAACAGAGCGAGATTCCTTCTTTCCTGCGCCGATGTTTAACCGGATCGTACCGTTTACGGGATTTTTCGGCCAATGTTGCTCGAATATTACCCTCGAGAATTCTGTTTAGAATACTCTGATTCCCCTCCACTGATTTCTATGTTTGCTTTTGTACGATAGCGCCACTGTAATTTCGAAACGTTTAGTCACACTCGATATTAGAGTTACAGATATTTTATAAATTATAATTTGAGCTAACAAAATGGAAGTTTAAACTGAAATACTAATAATGAGTCAATTATACGCCTAAATATAATTATTGTAATGGACTTGTAAATTATAATTTAAATATTTTTTTAAAGATATTTTATAAATTATAATTTGAGCGTATATAATGGAAGTTTAAACTGAAATACTAATAATGAGTCAAGATATAATTATTTCTTTTGCATAAAAAAAATCTTGAAAATATCTGCAACAATAACTGTAATAAAACACTCAATATTAGAGTAACAAATATTTTATAAATTATAAATTGAGCGAACAGAATGGAAGTTTAAACTGAAATACTAATAATGAGTCAATTATACGCCTAAATATAATTATATCTTTTGCATAAAAAAAATCTTGAAAATATCTGCAACAATAACTGTAATAAAACACTCAATATTACAGTAACAAATATTTTATAAATAATAATTTAAGCGAACAGCATGAAAGTTTAAACAGAAATGTCAATATTGTCAATTAAATGCCTGATATAATTATTTCTTTTGCACAAAAAAAATCTTGAAAATAACTGTAATAAAACACTCAATATTAGAGTAACAAATATATTTTATATTATAATTTGAGCCAATGGAATGGAAGTTTAAACAAAAATATCAATATTGTCAATTATATTCCTGATATAATTATATCTTTTGGATAAAAAAAATCTTAAAAAAACCTACAACAATAACTGTAATAAAACACTAAAAATTACAGTAAGAAATATTTTATAAATAATAATTTGAGGGAATAGAATAGAAACTAAAATGACAATATTGTCAATTATACGCCTAAATATAATTATTGTAAAAATCTTGTAAATATCTGTAGCACTATGAGTGTTTGCATCGTTGTTATCATTTCGAATAATTTAGCCGAGCGGGCGTGTTCGAGCGCGGGAAATTGTTAAATTAGAATCGATCGGTTTTCCGACGCATTTAATTTGCCCGGTAATCGACGGGCCAATTTTAAAATGGTAGAAACGATACCACGTCGCGCGTAGTTCAATAAAGTGTGACGTTGTACGCGTCCGCACGCACGCACGCACCGTTGATAAATTACGCTCGACTTCCGCTTCCGTTCGCTAGCAGCCGCCGCATTCGCTCGCGCGAACACCACCTGCTCGAATTGCATGAATTACCGTTGCCATCCAGTACGGACGTCGTTGTCAATCGTAAAAAAAAAAGAATTTATTTTTTTATTTAATGCTCGAACAATGTATCTTTTGGACCATTTCTTTTCCAATTGTTATTACTGCGTATTTTGTTTAATTTAAATTTAATTTGATTGCAGTTTACGCGGCTCGGTGGAATTATAAAAATAAGGATAGGCGTCCCCGGATTTTTCCACGATAGGTAAGCCAATACCGGCTTTGCCAACTTCTGCGCCTACGAGACATAATAGCAAGTGGTTCAAGTGGACTGCAGAAGTGGAATTGGTGTCGTCTTTTGTTCTCGCCGAATCAGCACCAACCTCTTTTTCTTGGCGTTCTTAGAAATCAATACGTGCTTCCTAAGTTGCTAATACACGGCTAGGCCTGTCTATCGCGTGTTCCGCAGCTCGTATAACCGCGCTACTTTAATGTAAACGCGATTAATCGCGGCGATTCTTCTTTATTCGACCACGCGTCCCGCTGTACGTGATCACTATCACGCGAAATTGCGTATCTACGTAGATCAGAGATGGCCAACACTTTGTTCCAATAATAAACAACCGACAAACACCGTTCGTTCGATCAGAACAATTTTTATTTGGATAACAATTTTGCCCATCTTCGATGTACACACGTGTATTGTATTATAGTTAGCAATGTACGCAACCAGACCTGGCTAAAATACTATAAATAATTTATCTGAATTCACTTGGAAGCAAATAAATTTAGTTTAAATTTATTTTCTAATCGAGAACTTTTTATTTAGAAAAGAAAGATAGAGTATTTTATTATGAATTTTAGCCAGCTCTGCACGCAACATCGAACGTGCTCGATCGAGTAATGTCTAGAGGAACGATTTGTACAGGAGCTAGAGGTACATACTCTAAAGTTTTGCGAGGGATAGGGTCATTTAAGTGCAGGTCCCGTAAAAAAAGTAAAACATTCGAATGATGTATTTAAGTAACGTTGTTTATATATTGTCACATCATACAGTAGGACTTTGAAGGTTCGGAGTGGTCGCTGTGTACGCTAAGTAAATACATCGTATGAAGTCCCTCGTGATCGACTTTTGAATTTCGTCCCGTATCGATTCGTATTTCGCGGAATTGTTACACGCGACCTCCGAACTTACAAAAAACCGATCACGATTACGCAACAAGCGTCTGAAACTTTTATTCGCGGATAACGAATAAAAATAATTTAGATTTATTCGCGGATAATCCTCTATTTTCTTTTTAAATCGATGTCCAAGCAAGAATTAGCTGACGAATTCTCTAAAATTTGTTATCCGTTATTCGCGAATGAATAATTTATTGCGTCGTACGGGGGAAAAAAGGTCAAAACGTTGGAAGTTCGAAGAACGTAAGAGAAATATGGAAATTACTCGGTTGTTTCGACGCGGCGCGTTAAATCACAGGAGGAACTTCAAATGAAAATTGCATCGTGACCGGCACCGAAGCATGCTTGCGCCGGATCGATCGTTGCAACCCGTAACACTTCGACCATGCATCGGTAAAGGTGAACAAACCCTATCGTGTTTCGACTCGAGACGTCTGCGCCACATAACCTATTCCGTACCCGCGAGGCTTTATAAAATTTCACGCGTGATCGTGCTTAAAATTTCGATCGTTCGGACACTTTGTAAACCGAGAGAACCGCGATCGGACGATCCTCCAACGATATTGTATTTTTTTCCCCGACGATCTGTTCGAAATAGTCACGAAATGTTTCGTACAGAAGACGCTCGCATCGCACTCGATCGCAACATGGCCGTTCGCTCGCAATGAATTAACGTTTCGTTTCGGCTCACTCACCAGATATTGCTTGCAATGTTTTTTATGCTTAACGGTGCAGCGTTTCTTCTTCTTTGCGGCGGCGTTGGTTAAACCGTTTCCGGATTTTTCTTTGTGAGGCGTCGACAGGTTCCCCTTGTTCGCGGGCATCGTCGTGATCCTCGATCCACGGAAACTGGGTCGTTCTACCTGTCGACGACCGTCGAGACGAATGCACCTTTCGGTCCAACGACGAGAGTGATTGATAACGCTCGAAACTTCTCTCTTCCCCGTATATACGATACACACGTGAGCTACAGTACATGTGTAACGTATAGCGTATAGCCACTGGATATGCGCAAGGACACTGTACTACCCTGAGCTGATTATTCGAGGCCACGCCTCCCGTCTTCCGACCTTCTCTACGTAACCGCCGCCCCTTTCGAATTTTCCAAACTCCAAACCAACCCATTATCTTTATTTATCCGCTACTCTTAACGTTATCGTTAATTTCATTATCTCCAATATACTAGTCTTTCGACGACAACATATTAGGGCCACATTAGGGGTAAGGTTATCTCGAAAATAATCGCCCACCGGAACTACATCCGTACATTTTAATTTGTTTTCTCCATTTTTTCACGTTGTTTGCAAGTTCCCATTTTCACACAACGTGTAAAAGAAATATGTCGTCAGAAAAAATAGTGGGTTATGACGCTTGGATACCAAAAAAATGCTCGGCCCTGGTCATTTAATAGCGCCGCTGTCCCAATGTGGTAAATCGTTCAACTACGTCGGTAATGAGAATTTAGAACAAGTACCGGTCGTGACACCGGAAGCTGCCGATCGGTTCCTAACCTGCAATTCGCGCCTCTTGATTTTCCGATCATTGTAACAAATAATTAGTGATTTTGCATCTTTAATAATAGAAAGTACCAAAGGTTCGATCACCATTTGATCGTTATGTAACCATCGATGTCTGTATTCTACAAATTCTGTATCATGTTTGTGCTCTGTTCTTGAGGAAGCGGGTCACAGCCGAGAAACTTCAAATTTAATTCACTTAACTTCGCAAGAAATTATTGTTAATAATAAGCAGTATGTCTAAAACAAGACATCCATTATTATTTAAAGAAAATAGGGAAAAATGATAATTCCTGCAGTGAGTTCCTCTGTTACCGACCCTCTCTTCTCAAGTTTCAGTCGTGGCCGGAGAGGTGGCGCTAGGTGGCATGTACTAGAGAGAGAGGGGAGCAATGGCTGACGAGGATAGGCGAAATAAGTTGACCCGTGTCCCCGCGGTCGAGCGCGCTCGTTCTGCTCGAAACGTCCGAGCACGAAAACGTTACGTTGTTGGTTTGTCGTAAATTGAGTTACGTCTCGTCGTACGGCTCAAACGGTTGCGTCGTGTATGGTACCGTGTGTATGTGTGCGTATGTGTGTGTCAATGGTTCGTTATTAACGGTGCAGTGTGGCCTGATACATCAGAAGATAAATTATGATGGTCTGATCGCGGTTCCAACATGACTGTGGATTTCGTCGACTACTTCTGGGTGAGTGTCTTCCAGCTTTTGGCCAGTAATGTCATTCCCGTCGGATTTAGGTTATGTACGGGGGGAGAAACCCCCTTGTAACCTTTCCGTTTCGTTCGTCCTCGAGCGTACAAACTTTCCACGAACTTATCCGTGGACGTCGCGCCCGCGTTAACTCTCGTGTAAATCGACGCATTCCCGTCAATGAAAGCCTTTTTCCTCTCTCTTTCTTGCGTTTTATCATGGTCGTTCTCGTTCCTCTCTTTTTCTCCGCGTTACGCGGCACGCTCTTCTTCGTTCTTCTCGGGAACGCAAGGTTACGCGTTCACCTCTCCCTGTCATCCCATCTTCGTGTCGTCTCCGCGATTCATCGTAGAAAACCACCGAAGAATGCGTACACGGCTGCACGGTCTGACGTGCACGCAATTTAGGCCTCGAATACGGACGGAATTGGAAATGTTACCTTTGTCGTAACCCTTTTTAACAACTTACAGTCTTATGGAATTCAATTGAGAATTAAATTGTCTCAATTATTTCATCCCGTCGTACAATTGTATCAGTTATCGTCAATTTTCACGACACAGTTACGTAGAAACATTTTATTAAACGTAAATATGTTTGTGTTGGGAAGTAGAAAGCTGTCCATGTTATCAGCAAGCTAGTTACAACTTTTTAACGATGTAAAAATTTATATGTTCACCACTATGCGTGTATGATGGTTTTCAGTTCATAAATTTCTCGGAAGACACTGTTCTCTCTGATGAAAACAGGGTTTAGATAAGATAGTTGCTACTTCCTTTTGCTTCCTTCAAAATTCTATCTACGGAAGATTATTATACACAGGATGTGATGCTGATATTTTAAGTAATTGCCTGGAATAAATGTTTGATAGGGCAGTCAAAGGTCTATGCAATGGAACATTATTATAATAATATTCTTTTTTTTTGTTAAAAAAAATTCATTAAGAACAGTTAAATATTTAACATATTTAATTTTGCATAAAAGTTTTATTATATTTTATTTTTAAAATACTTATTGTTTTTTCTGGATAAAGTGTACGGTATGTCGTGTACAGCGAATAATACGTACAATAGGATGACAAGAGTAATAATATGTAATGACAGCTTATTGTGCCGATGTCATTCAAGAGTTCTACACTACGCGAGTTTACATCGTGATCAGGGTTCAACTGTTAAGTGGCTAAGTGGTCTTAAGTACAGTTTTAGTATACCTCCTTCTGCCGTGATATTCTAATTGCAAATGAGACATATTTTTCTCCTACACGAAAATTTTTATTCCAATGATTATCATAAATGTTTGCTGACCGTTTGTTTGTATATAATTTGCATTGAAAGTTGTTAATAATGTACATGATTTCTACTAACAAAACTGTAAAAATGTAGCTTTGTGTTTAAATAATACAAAGCCAGACATATAACAGCAAAGTTTGACATTATAACACCAAAATATTCTTATGATTTAAGGGCGAAAAGAATAATGGATTTGACGTGTTATATCATAACATGAAGCATGGTGTAGTCGCGAGTAAGGAGTTGGCTGAGTTTTTGAAGGAACGATCAGCCATAGAAGAAAACAATTACAAGCTTCTTAGCAAGGTAGCTAAGCAAGTTGGCAATAGCAGTAGTATACAAGGAACTTTTGCACCTGTCTGGGCTGCTCTAAGAGGTGCGGCGGAGAAACTTGCAGGATTGCACTGGCAGATGGCCCAGAGGGTTACCGAACTAATCAAAGATGTATCAAAATATGCGGATGAATTGCATAAAAAACATAAAGCTGTATGTAATGCTTTCTCTGTAATTAATGTACTTAGAAATAAGCGAAATTTATTTAAAGAATCGATCGGTCAAAAATTAGTTACAGCTTTTGATAGTTTTTAAAAGCATAAATATATTTTTATTTGCTCTAATCGTTACAACTATTTATCGTGTTGTATCGTGAATCACTGTATATTTCAAAGCTTATCAGTATCCGCCCACAGTCAGGTCACTAGGTTCCCTCAGACAGTAGTGTCTATAAAGATATAAAGATATTGCTTATCAAATTAGTGTGATAAGTAATTATTTAGAATATCTAATTAATTAATGCTACTTTAAAAGCAACTGTAATTTTCAATTACATTTACATTGCAAGACAAAGATGATAAATAATTATTATTATAAAATGTACGATATATCCAGGTAAAAGAGGAAGAATCGTCCACCTTGGAAGTTGTACAAAGTATACAAAGCATTACAGTGACTTTGCACAAAGCAAAAGATATGTGTATGCAAAAGGGTCTTGAATTGGAAAAATTGAGGAAAGAAAATGCCAGCCAGAAAGAATTAGAAAAAGCAGAAATAAAATTTAAAAAGACACAGGACGATTATAAAACTTTAGTAGACAAATACGTGGTCATAAGAAACGATTTTCAAACAAAAATGACTCAGGCGTGCAGGGTACTTGTCCAAATTATTTATTTTATGACAAAGTTACTTGAAAGGTAAACATAATACTAACGGATCTATTGTTTTATTGATAAGCGATTCCAAGATGTAGAGGAGACACACTTGAAACATATGAAGGAATTCTTGAATATCTATGCAGATGTCTTGCAAACAAATCACGAGCAAGTCGGCCAAGTCCATATTGACTTCAAACGTCAATGTCTTGACATGACGGTGGACAAGTTACTGGAACAGTTTGTTCAGAACAAGTACACAGGTTTCGAGAAGCCAGGTAAATAGTCTTGTAACGCGCAATTTGAACCCTAACATTTTCTGCCATAATGTCTCTGTGAATTAGGTATGATCGAATACGAAGAAGTCATGACAAGTTTAGCAGATATGACCAGTCATTCGCAATCGGATAGCAATGTTGAGACACCCAAGGAAACATCCAAAGGAGCTAACGGGGAAACAGGAGTCGCTGGTAACACTCACAGTTCAAAAACAGATCAGGGATTAAAGGGGGAGGGTAATCAGGTGGATGAGGAAAAGGGGAGGGTACAAGAAAAAGAAAACGAAAGACTGAATGAAAGGGATAGAGAACTGTCACATGCACAAGCCACCAAGGCTTCCCGCCGTACTACCTCGCTACTCAACCTGTTCATGTCCAACTCCCAGGGTAGGTTTTGTTTTTAAAATTGAACCGAATTTACAAGATTTTATTCTCTTTTAATTGCGATAGTTTCTATCTACCTTAACATAATACGCAAATTACGACCGTCGTATCGTAAAAAATTGTCTCCCGTGGACGTGTTATCAAGGAACAAAAGTGATTGAAGAAAGTTATTACTAGAATTCGTTAATAGCGTGAATTTCCAGAACTGATCTCAAGGTTGAATACATTATGTCTTGGTAGATATATTCTGCAATTTTTATTTATGGCAGCAGTATCATTTTACTATTCATATGTATACACTTGTTCAATTTCTTTTTAGCACTCGATCACAGATTTATTAATCTAGGCATATGCAAAACAGTTTTATTGACTTCATGCTTATGTGGTTGTGTTACAATGCTTGTGCGTTACAATCTAACAATAGGTGGAGGATGACATTATAAATTATTATGTATTCCAGGGGGTTTTCACACATACATTCGTTTTTTTTTTTTTTTGTTAGTATGAATATTAAAGCTAGAACGATTTCCATAGTAAAGGAAGGAATACAGACTATACTATGAGAAAAGTAATTATAACATTGCGCGTATTTGCAATTTACACTCTCTATTTAACATATATTAGCATTTGAAAGAAGTACAACACCCCTCTGGAGTGCTATTTATGCCACTGAAAGTGCTAACTGTAATAAAATTGCAATAGTTGTAAGTAATGTTTAAACAGCAAGATGAAGAAAAAAGGGCCATTCGGAGGCACAAATTATTCAAAGATATGAGCAATGAGTGTTGTTTCAGACAAACAGAAGCAAGCAGGGTCTGGTTCGGCACCTGCAACTCCTCAGGGGAACAACCTGCCTCCTGCTGTTCCACCTCCCAGCATCTCCAGGAACCCTCTCAGAGGATCTAAATGTAACTGCTTACATTGTGATTACCTGTACCCTTACCACATCCGATACACACATTTTGGATTAACTCTAGATTAACGGTTACATGGTACTATTATACACGCATACAAAAAAAAAAAAGAAATCTTCGAAGACTTTGCTTTTCTCAGTAATTAGTTACAAAATGATCAAGGTGAGGGCATGTCATTAGTGAATAGCTACAGCTTTCTATAATATTTTTTTCAAATCTTTGTACAAACTATCGTAAAGAATAATATCGATGTCTGTGAAAATTAACAGACTCTAATAGTATCTACTTGGTGGTCTTTTAAGAACATTTAAAATCTAGTTATATTCGACAATTTATTCTTTTAACAAAATTGTCGATAAATCTTAGAAGCTTCAGATTTGAGTCTCTTAAATGCAGTTTCAAGCGACCACCTTTCATTCAGCACTCCTTCTATATACCTTTATCTTTGTCTTGCTCTATTGGTTGTTCTCTATCGGCGGTATTTGGTGACAATTATATGATCATTCATTTTTCTTTATTTATACAATGTTTTTTATGGCCATACAGGATATGTGGTTAAGTGAAATATCTGGTGACTTACAGTGGTAACGCGTATTATGGTTCCTCCACTCTGCACTCTTTTAGATCAGCAGTGTACGTATACTAACATTGTTTAAGCACATTAAATTAATGTTACATGCATAGAATCACATCGTAATGTGATTAATGATTTGATGCTACCTCACTACGCAGTTTAGAAAAGATATTTATGTAACATTGATTTACTCTTAGCGTTTGGAGCACATATAAAATATTTCTTTGCTTTTAAATACGTTTACATTTCACAGAAGTAATGTTAAATTAAATATTTACAATTAGAAGGAAGAAATATTTTTCTGTTCGCGTTTTACTAACACTGAAACAGGCTTGCTTAGACAATAGGCTGTAGCTTTAGGATTATATTGGTAATCTAACAGGTGATTTAACACTTTTCATAAATTTGTTACTTATAAATTGTTTTTCTAACAATCTTTTATGTAAACATAAACCAAGGGGTTCTTCTATCAACACAACTCATTGTAAAATTTTACATGTATATTTGTTTATATTATAATCAATGAAAAATACATCATCGATTCGATACTAGACTTAAGAAAAGCGTTCCATTGGAAAGTTTCTGAAATTCAGAGTTACAATTGCCAGTGTTTCGCTGTGCATATCGTCGTAGATTAATATTTTCTCCTTTTTTTGCGCGCGAACGCAATGTTCTCGAATGCTCGTAAACAAGCCCAACTTGTTAACGTAGATCGTGAAACAATTTTTGAAACTTTCTACCGTTCTCTTAAAATAAACACGTGCTCGTATAGAATTAATCGAATAAAGGGAGTTGGACTTGAATAACGTTGAGATAGAAATGCGGGGTTTGCTACCGACCGGGGCCGAAGGTGAGCCATTTTTAAGAGTCTGATACTGCATGGCTCACTTGTATTTATTTTCCAAGTGCAGATATATATCCGTCGTGATAGCGTAATGTGATTCTGCAAGCAACCATTTTTTATTTGTTAGTCGTATCATCGTCGAAGGTAGTTAAACAGCAAATATGTTCCCAATTGTACCGCGACTATTATTTTATTTTATATTTTTTTAATATATCAATGTTTGTAATTCCGTACTGTAAGTGCATACAAAGTTAAAAAAAATTATGGAATTATGTAAGAAACTGTTCCGTACTTCGTTTTGTACGTATTGTTATTTGCATGTCGATAGTATCCTTGCTTGCAGAACATGTGGTATCGTATGCTCCACGATTTAATAGAGGTATATGTGGAGATTGCGCAACCTCATATCGTTCTGTTGTCTTGAGAAACGTATCTGACGTTAATTTGTAGAACGTGTAATTGTTAGAAAAACAATTTAAGACGAGACTGAACCTTTGCAGATCTCTATAGGATAATTGATTATGGTGATGGTGTATATGGGTTTTTCTATACCTCTGCTAATGTAACGTGCTACCTACGCTACTCTTTTTGTATTCCTTATCTATCGTTATTGTCTGACTTAATGCAGGCGTAAAAACGTAATAGCGTATATTTTCAAAATGCTGACACGAGTTTCTTTTCAGAAGAAAATATTCGATAATTTCGCCCAAGCTTTAGAAAATAATCACAAATAACCGTAATTATGAGCTATTGATAACAAATGCTTGTAATTAAATATTGCCAGCGAACGTGCGAGGACTCGTAAATTTTATACTGGAAAAAAACTTTAATGGGAGATTCTGGAAGCCAAATTAAGACAAAAATCAAGAATATCAATTTCTTTATTCAGGCTTTATTAAACAGTTATTAAAAAATTTTTAGATAAAATTAAAAATTTTCAAATCATGCTAAAAAAATTATATTTAGTTACAGGGGTCACTTACAATTATTTTTGGTCATTAGACATACCTTTGAAATCCTCCCCATTTTCGAGAAAAAAATTCGAGAAGGGGGAAATTTTTCGACAAAATTAAAAAATTTCAAATCATATTAAAAAAATTATATTTATTTACAGGGGTCAATTACAATCATTTTTGGTCATTAGACATACCTTTGAAATCCTCCCCATTTTCGAGAAAAAAATTCGAGAAGGTGTGGAATTTTTTGACAAAATTCAAAAATTTCAAATCGTACTGGAAAAATTATTTTCGATTGCGGGGGTCAATTACAATTATTTTTAGTCATTAGATATACCCTCGAAATCCTCCCCATTTTCGAGAAAAAAATTCGAGAAGGGGGCAAATTTTTTGACAAAATTCAAAAATTTCAAATCGTTCTGGAAAAATTATTTTCGGTTGCGGGGGTCAATTACAATTATTTTTAGTCATTAGACATATCCTCGAAATCCTTGCCACTTTCGAGAAAAAAATTCGAGAAAAGCAAATTTTTCGACAAAATTAAAAAATTTCAAATCATACTAAAAAAATTATAGTTATTTACAGGGGTCAATTACAAGCATTTTTGGTCATTAGACGTACCCCTAAAATCCTATTCATTTTCTAGAAAAAAATTCAGTACGGGCAGAACTTGAAATGTTAATAACTTTTTAACGAAGCCTCCATGAACAAATTATTATTCTTGATTTTCGTCTTATCTTGGCCTCTAGAATCTCCCATTAACATTTTCGCCTGAGGTTAGAGACAATCTAAGGACACCGAAATTCGTGTCAGCATAATTAGAGAATGTGATGATTAGAAAGCTCATAGAGAATGCATCTGCTGATTGTTGATTCGGTGACGATTGATTTCTCCTTTTTTTTTTACCGTAGACATTTATTTGATCACGTTGCGCTACGCCTCAAACACTTGGAAAGTAAATTGATTTCCATCTATCATAAAATTACAAGTTTCTATTAGTTTCTAATGTAAGATATTATTTACATTAACTTTGAGTACAAATATGTTGACACCGCAAACGTAGATTTTCGCTTTTTAGTTTTAGTTTATAATTATTTTATACATTAATGTTTCCAAGAGTGATTATTTAAGACACTCGTCGAAGTAGACATCTTTGATTCAATTTAACAATCTTTACCATAATTGTTCGTCTCCTAGTTTCAATGTATCCAAGTATTTATTTTAATATTTTGTATAAAAAAAAAGAAGTTAATTTATATCAATTTTAATAGGAGATTGATTAGGAGTTATCGTTGTATTTTATTGTTGTTATTTAAAGAGTCTCTTTAATCTACCGTACGGATTAAATATAAAAATTAAAAGTCGCTTTGTTTTCTATATATCGTGCGTCCACGATCAACAGGGTTTCTTCGCAGCAGGAGAGAAAAGCGCAAGGAAAAGAAGGCGAAAAAGAAGAAGGATGTCGTGGAGACTAGCAGCAACAAAGAAGAAAAGTCTGACCTGTCAGTATACGCACGTTCAGCAGATCTAGTGCACTCGAGATATCAATTCCGCATACCAAGATCGTAAAAGTACGATCGATCAAGATCACGATTACACGGTTATCTCAGCGAAAGTGTTCCACCGTTAATCCACGACACTTCTGTTCACCAATTAAGACCAATTAAGAATACATAAGCTCACGAGTCGTCGCAAGAATTCTTGATTGCGGAACTGATGCTCTATATATATTACAATTGTTCTCTTTTGTTTTCGTCAGCACTGTAAAACCCTTTGATGTACAATCACAATAGATTTGTTTTACTCGTCGTTGTACCGCAAAGGAGTGAACCGCTAAAGCACAGTATTTAAAAAAAAAAAACCGTTTGTTATGAGTTTATTATTTGCAACAAAAGAAACGAACTAGCGTAGATCGTGTGGCGTGTACAGAAAAATGCACTAGGCCTGCTGGAACATGTAAACGCTCGTTTTACTGAATTCTGTTAATTGCACACCACAGGGAGGACAAGGAGGACAAGGAGGACAGCAGAAAGTCCGAGACACCAACGCCGGAAGTGGACGAAGATGGTTTCTGTATCCCGCCAAAGTCAGATCCGTGGGAGAACGAGAAGGGATTCTACTCCAGCTCAGATACCGACTCCGAGGACGAGAGAAAGATAAGGGTGGAAATAAAGCCTCTGAGCAACGGAGGAGCACCGATGAGCGCCAGCGTGGACGAGCTGAGGGCAACGGTGGAGAATTTATCGTTATCGCCTGCACCGACGGTATCGTTTCGCTGTTTCCTTTCATCAAAGATACCGTGGACGGTTCGAATAACGTGGTTTTCTTTCCATCAGGGACGCAGAGGATCGAACACCGACTCTGATCACCACATGAAAAGGTCTCAGTCAGTGTCACAGCAATTAGGAGGTAAGCCAAGCTCAGATTTACTTGGCCTAAACTTGTTCAATCCCAGCAGTACACCATCGAGCGCCTCGACGCCGACTGGTAGTCATCCGTACGCGCCATTGCAAAGCCCTCCGCCGCTCTCTTCGTCACCGACGCCTCAACCACAGCCGTCGCAATCCGCACCGCCTACACACCCCCACTCACGGTTCCCTGGTGAGTCTTAAACAGCTCATCGGGACGCTTTTTCTGTCTTGTCGATGATTATGTGCAGGCATCGAGCATTGAGTCTAGGGTCATACGTGTTTTGATATGTGCCGTCGCCACCAGAGGGGTCCGTGCTCTCACAAGCGCTCCACGGACCCCTCAGATGCTATGTGTACGATTCTCAAGAGTTCCACACCGCATCACCACAATTGGTGACTTGGACGGTGAACTGGACAACTAGGAAGAAGGTGTCTCCCCTAATGTGGCCTTGCGTTCACTCAATAGCTTGTCTTGACTAAATCTACCTGTCGAGGCCGTCGTCTCCAGGTGAATATAGATTCACAGGATTTGGAGCAACAGCAATAGCACCCATAGTGGGACCACAGGGCTAGGAGGACAGCAGAGCATATACATAGCAGCGCAAGGCAACGAGAAAGACTCGCCCTACGTTAGGACGATCAGAGAACGACCACGCAGCAGCAGAAAGCACATGCATCATATCCTACGGCGCAATAGAGTCGAAGTTCTAGCCCCAGGATCAGAAAATCCTCTCCAGAGGTCGCGTCAATCGAGATAGAGGCGCTACACGAATACACGACGACGACAAGTCCAAGAGGAACATTGTAAATAAGAGGATTAGTTAGCACTGGCAGGAGGGTAATGTGGCCTCCCAAGCTCGCCACCAGAGGGGTCCTCGAACGACTTCTGAAGGTCCCAGTTGTCTAAGATAGGCTAGAAAGTTAGAAAAAGTTTTGTCCTACGAATTTCCACGAGTTTCTAAGATACAGTAGGGGAGACATACTATTGTATAGGCTGTTCCATTGTATGTACTAGATCCTGGAACTCAATGATCGATGCACGTGTCATCTTCCGAAACAAAAACTAATTATAATGTAAACTAATATATTGTTCTTCGCAGATGGAGATCTATTCTCGGAAGTGGGAGACATCACTCCAGCCTTACCCCCAAAACAATCTGCATCTTCCACTCCGACAGGATCTATTATCATTCCTAGACCGCCGTCCCGACGTGGTGAGGGCCCTTCTCCCAGGGGCAGGATATCACCAGCGCCTATATCCAGAGCAGACAGCGTGGCCAGCTTGGAGTTTCGCACGGCTGGCGTGGGGGTCGGTTCTTCCAGGGGTCCTTCTCCGCTCACGATTGGCCTCGCGGATACGATTCCTCTGGCGGTCGCCTTCCACGAGATTGTGCATTCTTACTTCAGGGGCACCGACGAGACGCGATGTCAAGTGAAGCTCAGCGGCGACATGATGTTGTCGTTCCCCGCCGGTATCGTCGCCGTGCTAGCAAACAATCCTAGCCCCGCGAAGCTTACGTTTCGCGTGAGGAACAGCAACAGATTGGAAAAATTGTTTCCTAATAATCAACTCGTTAGCATGTAAGTTGTATGTATGTGTACAGATAGATCATTACGCAAGTAACGATGCATTTACGGGGATTGTGTTGATCGAGCAATGGAACGCAACTAACTCACGGTACCTGCGGGATGATCTATTAACACTAGAAAGACTGACAACTTAGTATATACCTATATTACCTAAAAGCAGTCAAAATGGCTTCCTTGTAAAGAAGTTTTAATCTGACGCAGGGATGCTACGCAGACGACCGTCGACAGTACAATTTTCGAATTCAACATGAGTGCCTTAACTACATTGTTACGCAAACAGGCTGAACAAAATCCCACGGCTTCCTATTTTAACGTCGACATTCTCAAGTATCAAATCAAGTGTAAAGAGGGCGCTGGTTCGTGCCCCTTCCAGTTGGTGGCGTATTGGAAGTGCGAGACGACACACACCGACCTTAAGGTATATATTTCAAACGCGTGTGGATAGGAATGGAGCTATTATTGAACAATTATACGTGGTTTACAGATTGATTATAAATACAACAGTCGCGCCATGGCTTCTCCAAGTCCTCTGCTTAACCTCCACGTGGCAGCCCCCATAGATGGCGGTTTCAAGTCTCTGAACAGCAAGCCCCAGGCCCAATGGCTGCCGGACACGAATCGGGTGTTATGGAAATTCACGGAACTGTCGCAGCACAGCGAGGACAACGGCGTGGGCTCTTTGAAAGCGCGTGTTGAACTTGCACACGGTCCAGGGAATCAAGGAACGATATTTACCCAGTTCAATTGCGAGGGGACCACATTATCCGGAGTTGAATTCGAACTTCTGGGCCCGGGATATAGATTAAGTTTAGTAAAACGCAGATTCGTCTCTGGTGAGTGATTATTTTCAATTAACAATCGTACAAATCCAGGACTGTTTCCTATGACTGGTACGAATAAACTTGTCGAATGTTGAGTGCGACTGATGAGCATTTGGTGCAGCAATTTGGGATTAAAATCTAGCGTTGTCCAAAAATACATGTCGTTTTGAACGTTGGGTGATACTTGACACGTATGTATGTGATTAAGAGTGTACTAGAATCAGAATTAGAAACGAATGAAGCGTGGAAAGAAGAGTAAGAGAATTAGAGTTAAAGTAAGTCGGTTTAAATGCTTTTATCGTATAAGATTGCTTGTTTTTAATCTGGTTTCTTTGGTGAGGTTAATAATGGTTGTCTGTTTTCTTCAGGAAAGTATATATGCGACGGAGATTCCGACTCAAGGAGCAGATACGCCGCTCCGCCATCCAACGTGGATTGACGACTTCCGGAATGGGCGCCTCAGTGGGAGAGTTTGCCCATTTAATATTGGTATTTGCTTGTTCATTCACTGCCCATACCACGACTAATGTCCGTTCAAACGAAATCGGCGTGGGGAAGCCTGTTGGATACCAAAGAACGCGTGCGATAATGTTGTCCGATGGACAAGTAATTTGTACAAAAGAAACGGCTGAGCGATCGCAAAGTAACCAAGGATCGAGATATATGTATATATCGGTGTGATCTGAACGAAGAGAACTCGGAACGAAGATGTCGAAAAAAGAAAAGCATAGTTGGACTTCGTAAATCACTCGCTACCTGATGAACGGCGTTCTAATATGTGTTTTATAACTTGTATATTTTTCAATTTTCTATAATATGTCCTCGATTAGATTGTACTATTTTTAGTAATGTTTGTACGATGCATAATGAGGCAAAACGACGAGGATGGACGACGGGTTTAACACACTTTCGAAACGTCGGATAAGCAAATAGCAATGGTTCGCATAAAGCCTTTGGTGTCCAGCATATTTTTCACCACGACATTCTCGCCATATTATTGTGTCTATATAATCAAAATACGTTATAAATTTTTTTACGTAAACAAAGATGCAAGAACTCTTTCTAAAAAAAAAAAACAAACAAACACCATCAAACAGTACAACGTCTTAATCTATTGTTACATCTTGCGTTATTTTAACATAATTATATTAGTACTGTATCGTTAAGAGATTTTATGGAGAAGGAATGTAAAGAATCTGTAAACGCCAATCTCGATTATTTCTGTACATTTAGCATTTATAATTTTGCACGAACGGGGGTTGATATCGTTTGTTGTAAATCTGTTCACGAAGTCCTGTTTGTATAGCTGTACACATGCGCAAAAAAATATGTGGAAAAATTGAGCGCAAACAAATGGAATGAACATAAATGCAAGAGTTGTATCGTTTTTGCGATAATTTGTTTGTTGCGGTGAACTCTAAAATAATTCCCAGCGTGTAAAATTCTGAGGAGGATAAAAAACTAAAAATATTCTAGCGCGTTTGCTCTTATAGAAATTCGGTGACCGCAAATAATTATTCTTTAACGAGGAAGGAATTATAAGATAAAACGTTTGTCGAGATTTTAGCGTTGCGACGATCCGTAGTTTTGCAAGTCACTCGCAAAAAAAAGTCTTTCGAAGGTTGCAAATCAACGATGATCCTAGGACTATGATCGTTTCGTCGTTTCCACGATCAATAAATTAATCCAGTATTTCTTGCTACATTTAACTTAGATTAAATCGAACCGGTGGCATTCGCTCGGTTCGCTGGTTCGCTTTTAAGAAGCATACTAACTTCGAGGACGTTAACTTAGTCTTCTCAACTCTTCTAAATGGGAAACGAATATTCTATCTATTAATGTTTTTAACACTTTTTTTTTTTCTCTCTTAGTGTTCTCTTTACTATCAACGTTTACGAATCGAACGTTAGAGGCAGGCCATTTCGTTAGACTGCAGCATGTGCATACATACAACTTGCGTGTGTATACAGGGTGTTAGGAAAAATTTTAATGGTGTATTCTGGAGACCAAAATAAGACGAAAATCAAGAATAACAATTTCTCGATCGAGGCTTCGTTTAAAAGTTATTAACGTTTAAAGTTCCGCGCGCGCAGCTGTTCGCTACCGTCTCGCAAGTGGAACTTTAAATGTTAATAACTTTTCAACGAAGCATCCATCGAGAAATTAGTATTCTTGATTTTCGTCTTATTTTGGTCCCCAGAATCCCCCGTTAAAATTTTTTCCAGATCTGACCTGACACCCTGTATGTGTATGTGTATATAAAACGAAGCAATGACTCTGTAAGAATAAGTCTGAAACGAAACTCGATTATTATTATTATTATAATAGTCAAGCACACACGATGCTTCCTTCGCAGATTTAGATGTCGCCAACAAGTTCACGAATTCTCTTTGTAATTGATTTGTATTCAAGATCGAACATCGAATTATTTCCTAGCGTGTCGATAAAAATTTCTTTTTTTTTATTTTTACATTTCACGAGGGATCTATTATTACCATTTTTGTTTCATTATACAAATAGCGTAGGAAGCTATAGATGTCTGTCTGGATCTATACACGAGTATACATGCGGTATTCGTTGCGAAGTGTTTCGTTATCTGGCTCTAAAAGTGCATTATGCTTGTTAATTATTAACGAATAGTTCGTAGAAGGGCGAACTGCTTTTGGTTACCGGAACACGGCGAACAATACTTGTAGCGAATTCGTCGAGATGTATCGCAATGATTTTACATTTTTAAGAGAACACGTTTGCCGTTCGACGCGTTCCCTAAACCGCGTCTGTATTTTACTGACTTTACAATTTTTTCTTTTTTTTTATTACTCGAGTAAAAGAGAAAGAAACGAAACGAAAAGGTCTACGATGAGCAATATAAAAATAAAAAAATCATCAAAACGATACGATGATGAAATTTGGCGGCCACTCCATTCGATGTTGCTAAATCGCTGGGTACGTTTCATTGGATCTCTTCAAACATCGATTACACGCGGTTCGATCGGATTTATATTGTAGCATAATATGGTTCGTCGGTCTAAAAAGTAACAAACAAAAGGGGGTGTATATTCGGTAAACGTACCGTTCTTCAACGAGAAGAAGGCACAACGTGTTTACATCCCCACTCCTGATGCAGTCCACTGACTCACGGCTATTGGTCGCAGTGAGAGCCAATCAGCGGCCTGTAGCAAGAGTGGGGGATATAAACGCACTGTGTCCTTCGTCTCGCGGTGACGTTTCACGTATATGAATGATACTAACACGACTATTATGGAGTGGTTCCTGGAAGAAGAAAAAAAAAAAAAAATCGACTGAGCTCTCCTGTGATACGCAGATGTCACTATAATTTCATAATAAATGTTTGTAAACGAAACATAATAATGTTAATGATCGCGTTCACTTTCTTCCCGGCTGATCCCGCGATGATCACGGTACGAAATGTGTAAGCACAACCATCATGGTTTTTATTAACGTTAACACGTTAATCCATCGACGCGTACGATTCACCCAGGGCTTGAAAAAGTTACGCTAATAACAATAATTGTCTGAAAAGCGTTGGTCGGAACTGTTACGAGGAATCTAAAAATGAAACTAATCGGTTCGAGTTGAAGTTCTTACGTCAGCTTTCACATAGGTATAGTGTAAATATCTTGATGAATAATCAACGTCTAATCCGACCGTTGGGTACAATAAATGTTTGCATTATATATTATATAGAAACTTTAACTCGAACCGATCCAAGATTTAGGTTCTTTGCGACGCTGGATAAAAATGTTTCAAGAACCTGAACCCTACATTGTAATGGTTTTCAAGCCCCGAATGCGCTCAACAGAGAATATAGATTAATTAATGCGATTCGCTTTTTACATGTACAATTGTAAAGTACGAAAATTCTACACTCGACAGAAAGAAACATGACAACGCATGTACGCCTAGAGCTATTGATTTCTATCGGGTCCCTGAGACACCTTAGGGCCTAATGTCTGTTAGGTGCCTGAGAGAACAAAAATAACACAGGTACAATTTTGAAAATCTACTCGATGAGCCTCGATCAATGTACGATCCGTTTCGAATCACGGTCGAATACGTGTATTACGACATTATTGTACAATTATGAGATTTATCATTTTTATAAAGCTTAATAAAAATAATTAGTCGTAAACAAATCGTCGTCAATCTCATACTTGATCAATACGCGTACTCGACTATGCTCGATTTTACTAGGGTCGTGTCCAACGCAACGGTACCTGTGTGTTTTCTGCCTCACGTGTACCCAGGTAGTTTGGGTGTCAATAGCGCTGATACACACACTCACGCAACATACGATCCGACGACACGCGATTATGCATAAAAAAAAAAAGCAGCGTGTACAGGATTTGAAATCACACGGGAGACGCGATGCAACCGCATATTATACATATGACTCTTATACATAGTATAAATACGACGAGGAGAATAAATAAATTACAATATACATGTTACACGATACATAGGATGGTTATGTAAGCCTGTTGACATGTAATGTCTATGTTCTAATAAAGATTAGGATATTTTATATAAATAAAGCTGTTCGATAGCCGCGACTAATTCATACTATCCTGCATACCATCCCCGTTTGCATCATAGAGAATAGTACACGTACCATTCTTCAACGAGAAGAAGGCATAAAGTGTCTACATCCCCCACTCCTGATGCAGTCCACTGACTCACAGCTATTGGTCCCAGTTAGAGCCAATCAGCGGCCTGCAGCTAGAGTGGGGGGATTCAAACACGTCGTGGCTTCTTCTCGTGGAAGGACTATACTTTGTATGCAACAGAAGCACCACCAACAATTAAGAAAAAATAGTTGTACTAAACAGAGGAATCTTGAATGTACTTTGTAGGATGTTTAGTTTCTGTGAAACTGCCTTCTCAGGTCCCTGATGTCCAATAGAACAAATATATTACTCTTTAAATAACTATTCGCTTATAAAAGATCTGGAACTTGTAATGGAAGTACTAAACGTCTTCTGCAACGGTTCTTCTAGATCATGAAGCGTTGCTTAGGAAATGCCAGAGTAATTCATCGTTGCTGGCATAGTGGATCAGCACGTCCTCATATCTGAACAGAAATCTATGTAAAAATCTTTGTAATGTTTGTGAACCTTGAAACGTCAAGTCACTTACGTTAGAGGCAACTGAATGTCTTCATCCTCGAGAGGTCCAATGGAACCAACTCTTTCTAAGATGGCTCGAGCCAAGATCCTCTCGTACTCTGTGTACTGTTCATCCTGAGTGAACCACAGAGCCAACGCGCATCTTTTCCCTCGAAGAACACCACGTACACCGTGGAGGTTCTCTCTGCCTGCAGAGAATGCCACCATACGACCGCAACGTGGGAAAACCAGGGTGTCTGACTCACGGTCAGCTTGATCCTTGGTGAAGAAGAACTCACCGCCCTGGAAGTCGTTGTTCAAGTAGAGGATCGCTGAATAATCTCTCCACACATAGGCTGGACTCTTGCGTACGCAAGTATCCTTGTCCACCAATATACAATTGTCCGCGTGGACCATGTGACTCAAGTCGTCACGATCCATCGGTGAACCTAGAAATTAAAACATAATTGTACTACCACGCCGGAGCATGTTTATTCATTTGTCGTGCTTTTAGGTCGAAGAAGAAGTTGAAGATTCTGACAAGAAGAGGTAGTTTGACTGTCTAAATTCTAAACGGAGATGCTGCTACCAGGCCAGTCCATAAGTAACGCAAACTACCATTTAGAGTTTTAGAAGATGGAACGCAACAACTCTACATCGTCTTTCATCATTCTACAGGATTCCCCTTTTAATTTAATGAAGATTTTTAGAAAGGTTGTGGTCTGGTTGTACGGGATCCATGGTGTCCAATTGGTTTCTATGTTTTATCTAAATTCTAGTAGCTTAAGTGTTCCGTAGACCAGGCTCTTCTTTGATTGCGGACTTATTTTTGCCCGTGTCGTAGATGGCTCTTCTGAAGTTCACGTTACTTAGGCAATGAACTGATAGCTTTCTTCCGACTGGTCACTGGACGTTACCCCACGTGCCGTACCCGCAAGTGAATCGGTGCATAGCGATTGCAGCTGCGAAAGGAACCAGAAGCACGTTGTTGCATCGGTTGAAAATTACCAGGTAGAGCAGTACGGCAGACCAAATGGGTGTAGGTGATATACAGTGGTCGATCTAGTCCAAAATACCTTTCCACGTGGCTGCGTGCCTCCTCTGTCTTCGCCAGAAGCCGTTTCAGTGGCTCCATTTCCATTTTACCGATATATACCATCTGCAATCAATTGATATCGTTATTGTCAAGTATCTGCTGGGGCAACGATGCAATGCAAAAGGGGTTGAAAACTGTACCAGCGCGATCCTCCCTATCGTTATACCCTCGAATCGCTCGTACTTGGAGTGCGGACTTTTGTACTTGTCGTACCCGTCTCCTTCCACTGCAGTCATCTAGATTTGGTCAGCGTAATTGGTATTAAAAATTAATAATAGTATACTTAAGTTTGTACAATCTAATTATTGTATTATGTAGATTGTAAGCTAGTAGTTTACATTTTTAAGCTAACTCGGTCCACTTTGTTCACTTAATTATAACTATTAACACGTTGACTGCTAGTTTGAAATACTAAGATTGTTTGCAAGACCAACACTTTGATTTTGGTCAATTGTAAACTTAAAGGTTGTCCAAGTAGTTACTTTAGAAATTTATGAAGCCTATTAAAATTTATTTTCTTTAACATTTCAACTAGAGAATTAATTGTTTTACTTCTACTACTAGTTAAAGTGTTAATAATTATAATGTATGTATTATGTAGATTGTAAGCCATTAACTGACTCAATTAGTCTACTTTGTTCAGTTAATTATAACTATTAATAGGATACTTAAGTTTCTGATAAATTTGCATTGCATTGGAAAGATGGCTACTCAGCAGTAAATCGAGTGTTTATCTCGATACTTTTACCAATTTGCAGTCTTGTTTTCTTGCAACTATCGAGTTCTATTTATTCCATTGCAAGTGATTTCGACACTATTTGTAAACATTATTTTTGATCGGATAACACACCGAGGCCAATTGTATCAAGAGATCGCACTCCGTAGAGTTGAGGAATCCATCAGCCACGTAGCGATTCTGTCCATCGAGCTCTTTTTCATCCGCCACCAGATAGACGTCGTCCTTGATCTCGTGGATCCTTCTGTCGCGTATCGCGCGTCCTTCCTCCCGTATCATAGACACATTCTCGAACAACTGCATGCGAGAGATCGAGGAATGACCAGGTGGCGTGTTCAAAGAAGTCAGTTTCTGTAAAGAAAAAGAAATTGGAGCGCGTCGCGACAGAATAAAAATATTGTAGGCGTGAGCGTGTCGCGCCTACGATATCGCGCCAGATGCGCGACGAGAGATCACGGTTGCATTCTGGCAGGCGTCGACAACGAAGAATCGAGCAGCCATGGCGTGTGTCAAAATAAGCGTAGAATTAAAATAGAAAAAAAAATAAAAGCGTAGGATAATGGAGATAGTTTCGTGTACAAATGTTTTATTTATAAAAAATAACGATACAGAAGGGAAGATTTTTCCTAGATTACGTAGCTCGGTCGGCTTAAGTTCTGTATGCGATCGACGGATTAATACGCGCATCGTCCTTCGAACAAAAATTAAACGGAATGAAAGAGACGACGCTCGATGCGCTTGACAAGTTTCTAAAATTCTATTTTAGCTTTATAATTCAGTCTTTACCTTCGACAGTTTCGTCTCTTTCCTCTCGTCGGTCTTCGACTTTTTTTTCGGCTTCTTCGTCGACTTTAGCTTCGCGTCTATCACCGCGAACTCGTTGGCAATGTAATGCAGAAGATGTAACTCATACTCCTGTCGTTTTCCGTACTTAACAGCTTCCTGTAAGAGAATGTTTAAAATGTCATGGGATTGTTAAAAAATTTCGAGAATTTCGTCACCTGTCTAGGGAGGCAATGCTCGTCTGCTATTTTTGGTTGGTCATTGTAGTATTTCCTGTTCTGAAGCATAGGCTCGTCGTTCGGATCGAATAGCAAGTAACTCTCCATGGCTGCACATGCTGCCTTCAAGTTCCCCACTACGCATAAGATTTTCTATCATTATTTATTATTATTTGCTTCATTTTAACGTTGTACTAATTCAGAATATTTTTCAGACGAGGTACTCAGCGTCATGGATCAATTGGAGAGCTTAAAATAATTCTACAAATGACAAGACGCTGCCCTCAAGTTGCCCTCTACGCATAAGATTTTGAAAAATTATCCATTATTATTTGGGTCATTCTGACGTTGTACTAATTCAGAATATTTTTCAGAACTCAATGTTATGAATTGATTTGAGGAGCTTAAAACAATTCTATAAATTACAAGACGCTGCCCTCAAGTTGCCCACTACGCATAAGATTCTACTAATTCAGAATATTTTTTAGATGAGGCATTCAACGCCGTGGATCCAATTGAAGAGCTTGAAACAGTTCTATAAATGACAAGGCGCCACTCACGCGACAAGAGGAGACTACTTAGGGAAGATTAATTCAATTAGAAGCACATCGAGGCACGGAGTAACGACTTCCTGAAGAGTATCGGCTCATTGGATGCCCAAGGATTAATTTACCATCGCTACAAGGCCATCGTAATTCGTTATCGCTCGATTCGCGCACGGAGTCGACGTGTGCCCGTTTTTATCAACGTTTTTATATCTCCCTCTCTGTCGTCCTCATCGAATGGACCGATGTCGATAAGAATTTCAGAAATAGACGCGTCGCGTTCGACAGGATACGTTGTCCAGATAGAGATCGGCTCGTGTCGGCTGTTGCTCCGTTCGAGTGTGTGCACTTACGTTTGTAATAGGAGAACTGCAAATAATTGTAGTGGCTCCAGAGCATGTCCTTCTGTTCGTTACCGTTTACGTTGTTCAGTAGCAGGGAACAATATCGTTTGCACTTCAGACAATGCGTGAAGTGGTCTGAAATGTTAAACGTTTCTATTAATTTATTATTAATCTTAGTACTTACGTAGTAGCTCTTTAACGTAAGTGGTCAATGCTTAAGAATGCGAGTAATGCATGAAGCGGTCTGAAAAACTGACCTCAAGTTTCTATAATATTATTCATTTATATTAGTTCATTATTAATTGTAGCAGTTCTTTAACACTGGAACTACCGACAATTATAGTGAATTTATTTATACCAAAGAAAAAATATATGATGCAATGGAAATAAATGTATGTTCATTCTCTTATAGGAGATTACAGTAAACTTTCAAAAACTCGGTCGAATAAATTTTTTACAAGTTATTTTTACTGCTTTGGTAGTTCTAGCGTTAACGTAAGCGCTCAATGCTTAAAAATGTGAGCAATGCGTGAAGTGGTCTGAAAAGCTGAATGTTTCTATTTATTTATTTATTTCTATTAGTTCATTATTAATCTTAATACGTAGTACCATTCTTCCATTTTGAGAAGAAGGCACAACGTGTTTACATCCCCACTCCTGTTGCTGTCCGCTGACTCGCAGCTATTGGGTCGAGAACGGTGACAAAGTCAGCCAATCAGTGGACTACAGCAAGAGTGGGGGGATGTAAACACTTTGAGCCTTCTTCTCACAGAAGGACGTTAGTTCTCTAACGATTTCGATGCTTAAAAATGTAACGCCACAGTCACGCTTTGCATAGTAGTTTTTCATGCTCGACCAGGCGGAAAATTATTTAAATATCTATGATTACTCACTGGCGAGGGAGGTAGTGAACTCTGGGAGCCAGCCCTGATCGAAGGGAGCCTCGCAGTAGAATCTGCACTCCTCCTCGTAATCCAAGTAGGAATTCAACGACGCCTCGAAAAGATTCGCCGCTTTCGCGTAATTCTCGTCCTCGTAAGCCGACACTGCTCTCATGTAGACGCTGAGGTAGGGCGGTGCTTCTAGGTTTACGACGTTCTCCGCCGCGACGCCGGGCAGCGTCAGATAATTTTTCAAAGTCGTTATACTCGTCGCGTGATCCGGATGCCTGACCAAGTACGTGTAAATTGCATTGGCAGCATCTTGGTAACGCTTCGTCTGTAAAATTATAAGCGTGATATCATGCATACTCGTCAGAAATTACTGAATTTTTATTCGAGCTTAATTAAGATCAATTAACACTTTAATGGAAAATTATAAATGTAAACTCAACAAACGTAATTAGTTGAATGTATGATGAAATGGTGACTGATACAAGTAGATCACGCGCACGTGACAATGGCTGGCGTCTGCTGGCTCGCGAAGTCACGTATACGTGACAATGGCTGGCGTCTGGTGGCTCGCGAAGTCACGTATACGTGACAACGACCGTCAAAGTGTTAATTATATTTGACAAAGATTTCTCAGAGAATCGCCATGTCTGCATCGAGAAATCAGGATCTAGCGTGGTAACCAGTCGCTCCTAAAGATAAGAGCCCATTTCATGCAATTCCGAGGCCCCGATTGTTTCAAGGGAGCGGGAATAGATTATGACGCCGTACGTGTTTCCAGCATCGATTCGTACGCGCGGCGATTATGTAGGCCGAGTATTATTGCCCGCAGTCGGTCGTTCGGAACGTTAAACTCATTATTTACTAAAATGTTGCGAGCGTGGGATTAGCGATGTCGCGATTGCGTAAGCCTCCCGTATTAGAATTAGTCGCGCGCGAGAGACGGCGTGAAAATGTTCGACCTCTGAACCAAATTTAAAACTCGACGCGATAGTGTTAACAGAAATTCGTCGGAAAACATTTGCGGCTGTATGAAATATTGTAGATACGATTACCTGATAGTAGCAGATGTGCAAGTACTCGTAGACCTTGAGGTCCATCAATTTGTACTCGGTGGCTAATGGTAGCCTTTTCAAAACCTTCGCGCCAGCGATCTCCCGGTATTCCCGATTGCACGTGAGAAGACACAACGTTTCCTTGATCTTCTTCTCGTAGAAGTGCAGGTCCTCGATGTTCTCCGCGAAAATCGGCGCTGCACCGGCCGCCACTGTTCTGCACTTTTGCCGACAGTTTATCATCGTGCGTTTGTAAACGTTGTACCTAATAGAAAGTTCACGACAGAGTTGGCCAGATTTAATAATTATTGCGACACCTATCAGGTTTTTGAAAATTGTTGACGGCAGAGTTGGGCAGATTTAATAATTATTGCGACGCTATCAGGTTTTTGAAAAATATTCACTTTTTCGCGCCCTGGAATTAGCTAATTTCGATTAGGGTCACGCATGTCGAGGCACCCTATCTACTTTATCTTCTACCATGTAGTTACAGCTCTTATCAGACCGAATAACATCTATTTGAACAATTTTTTTTTTTTTAGTATTCATGGCCTCTGGATAGGATGTTGCGTCTAACGAAGATCAACAAGTTACTAAGAAGTTTTGGTTGAAAACATTTCAAGTAGAGATGCAAGCAACAGCCATAGTCACGTATACGTGATTTCATCAGTCACGTGTGCGTTCAGTTTGATAAGAACAATTAAAATAATAATTTGAAAAAATGTAAGGATCCCTCTAGAGGCAAAAATAAGACGAAAATTATTTTATTATATTAAAATTTTTCCCCAGGGTACCCGAACACCCTGCATGTCAGGATTTAATTAACAAAAATGAAGTCAGTATCTTTGTTTCTGGTAACGTAACGCTTTATTTGAATTGTTATGGTACATTGTACAAAATTCTAGACCTTAGTTTTTTATTTTTGATAGTTTTCTAATTTTAATTCCAGTTTCAGACGTACCCGTGCGAGACCAGGTTGAAGTTGTCGATGCAGCTGTCCCAGTCCTCCTCGAGATAGGCCTGAACAGCATCGTTGAAGAGATCGTTCAACGTTTTGTTACTCGGGAACTCGTGCTCCTCCACCGTTTTTTGTAAATCCACCGATTCATCGACCGGGATCTCGTTGTAAATGGTGTCGTTGTTACCGGCGATTGTACCGCATAGAAACAACAGCACGACGATCCTCATCGTCGCGGATACCTCACCGTCGCGATTCATACTGAGATCCACACCAGCAACGCTGGATCACGCGAGCCAAGGATGAGATTCTACGCGAGATGATACACACACGAGGCTCGCGCGATTGGCTCACCCCACCACCGCCGCTGGGGACACCAAATGTGGCTGCTACACGCGCGATAGCGACAGATCTACAACCGTCTTAATTTTACATTTACGGATACAGTACAAGCTTCGTTGAAAAATTCGAAATTTATTCCTGTAAACAGCGATACATTTAAATAATAATGCAAAATGCAATTGTTAACGGTTTTGTATACTTACTGTCCTTCCACGAGAAGAAGGCACAGTGTGTTTACATCCCCACTCTTGCTGCTGTCCTCTGATTGGCTGTCACCGATTTCGTCACAGTTTTCGACCAATAGCATGAGTCAGTGGGCTGGAACAGGAGTGGGGATGTAAACACACTGTGCCTTCTTCTTATGGAAGAATGGTACTTTTGGCCATTTGTTAAACCTGTACTCGATGCAGGGTCCAACGACCTTTTCGAGTCTCATTTTTCGTACCGGTTCGTTCCGTCGAACTGGTTCCGATCGAACCGTATTTGGGGTATGTAAATCGAGACATGGTCGAATAAAACACGAGCATACTGTATAGTAAGAAACGAAACTGTATTTCACGTGAAGAGCGTGTAATATAATTATCAAACGTTCGTCGAGTTCGCTGATAAACATTCTCACGGAGAACATCCAGTTCGCTTATCACAAAAAAAAAAAAGAAAAAAGAAATATCTAGAACAACGAAGTCTATCTCGAAAAAGGTGTTCATAGAAAATCGTAGAGGAGAGAAAGGGAAAAGGGTGGCCGCTTCTTTCCCACGCATCCTATCGTCGATTTTTTAACAGAAGAGTACCCCCCCGAGCAACGTGCAAATCGTTTTGCACAAATTTCGGGTCTTCGTGAACAGAATTATAGACAAAGTATCTAACTTTAACGTTTAACGCTCGCTCCTCCGTCCAGAAAACATAAACAAGGGAACCTAAAATATACATGCGCTTCCGCCTCAACGATTATAAAGCCATCGACGAATTCGCTCGGTCCTACAGACCTCACGATCCGCGTAAACGTAACGGAAACAATGTTCAACAAAGTATCGACTCTCGTCCGTAAAGTCGTGCAAATTTTATTAAGGAACAAAAATTTTTTAGTCTTTGTTCGCGAATAAAATTTACTCGACTCCACTGTAATAGCACGCAATGGCGTCACACCTTCTCTTTCCTTTCTTTGCGACGGCTCGAAAACTCTCTCGATTCGACCGAATGTGTCTTTTGACCCCGCAACCCCTTTAGCCTCGTGCAGCTCGAATTCGTCGTTTAAAAACTGTTCTCCGTCTTTCGAGCTGCCTCAAAGTCCTCGTACAATACGATACAAACTACTGGTCTAAACTAGGACGACGAATACGCTAAGCAGAGGAAAGGGTTTGCGTATAACAAGGGAGAGACAATGGCTAAGCCTTGCATATGATTATCGACATTTTTTGCGGATTAGATTCATGGCCCTCGACGATTTAAAAAGAAAAAGAATAAAACGCTCGGGGATAGAAAAAGTCGGACATTTTTTAAAGCCACGAAACGTCAACACCTATGCAAAAATTGTTTGGGTCGAGGGAAGAGAGATGTAAAAAAAGAAGGGTATTCGAATCATGCCTTACTCTTCTAAAGCCTGTGTGTTTTCCTTAAGTATCCTTATAGTATACCCTTACGTTAAGACATATAACACGCAGCTGGTCGCAATAAATATTCGAACGTTTGCGATCTGAAATGTTCTACATATTCCTTTGTTCTTTGTATATTTAAACACGTTGACTATTAGATTTTCTCGCATTAACACATTACCGACCGATAGCCTATTAATCAACGTTTTTACCGACCGATAGCCGATTAATCAACACGCTACCGGTCGGTAAAGTGTTAAGATGCAACGAGTAGAAGTGTTCATAAAAAATTTACATGCATCGTTGATTGCAAGTGTTGTAAAGGCAGTCAACGTGTCAACGATTTACAGCCTGTTTTGCTCGCCTCGATGTTACGCAATTAAACACCGCCAGCGTTCGAATACACCTCGCGAGTCGCTCTACAATGTACTCATGCTCTCGTGATCGCGCTACGTTCAAATTTGCTCGAAAATGAAAAGCGCAGTGCTTCGAACGCGAAGAAAAAAATCCGGTACCTATGGCAGAGACACGTTACATACTGGTTACCGTGTTGCTCTATATGGCAAACTGTATCTTCTTAAGCGAGCACTCGCGCGTGAACCCTAACCGGAAGCGACCCTTCCATCACCGCTGCCGAAATTCACGTATCGAAGCATGCTTTGCCCTCAACTAGTTTACACGTGTTTTCTTTTTCTCGCGTGTGTGTGTGTGTGTATATATATACAGAATAAATTAACGAATACCTAAATACTAAAAAGATTACGCGTCGGAGGCGAATGGCGCTCCGGAACGCTCGCAACTCTTACTCGAAGAAACCCCCCCAAGATGCTTCCAATGCGATATGTTCGTACGTCTGTGATCACTCGACCCCGTTATATCCTTCCATTTTTAGTAATCTTTTTCCATTTTTTTTTTTTTTTTTTTTTTCTCACAACGATTCAGATTCTGAGGGAGCACCAGTTCTCTTTAGCACCAATTCCGTAACGTCAGGACTAAATGCATCGTAACGTGGTACAATTAAAAAGGGACAGATATAATTGTGCATACGGGAGCATCTTGTATGTACGCTAATCGTCGCGACGAAATCTTCTATCGTATACACTCGTACGTAGGCAGACTCCAAAAGCTTCTGTGAAAACGTCGCCATTTTGTTTATAATATCTTCACAATTTCTAGCATTATTTGAATCAACCGTATTTAAATTTGATTTAGTATCGACAAGATCAATCACGCCCAGTAAATCTGATTTCATCCGCCCGTTGCAAATCAAACTTAATAATAATTTAATAACCCCCCCCCCCCCAACAGGTCCAGCCTTCACGAGTATATACGATACATACATGTTGCCTTCTCTTCACGAATGTTGCACGCACTGGAAAACTATCTGTACGCGACTCCGCTAACTGCTATATGCTTGATTCATACAGTGATGTGCTAATATTAGACGTAAACGTAAATGAGATCGTGTAAATACTGTAGCCCGAAGTATATAAATTACTCCAATTACTTGTTCGTTCTCTCCCGACCTCCATCGAGAAATACAGAAGAGCGATTTCGACAAACTGCGCGTTCAAAATCGTTTAAATATAATGGGGTGTCGCAGTTTCTCTACTTTCATCTTGATTCCCTTATATTCGATTAATCGTATGACAAAGATTACAGTTACAAGGATGGCTTGCACACGCCTCACGGATATCCAGAAATACCGGCCATTTTGCTCTCAAAGGTATACGATATTCGATGGAAGCCTATGTAGATATTGATTTCGTGTATAAATTGCTTCCCTTCTTTCTTTTAAAGCTGTTAAACACAGAACTGTCTTACTTTTGATTTACCTTCCTTCCGCTTTTATGTTCGATTATAAGATTGCGCGCGTTCGTTATAGACGTCGAATCTGCTCGGTTCGCGTCTCGATTTGATCGATATCAAGAAACGTTTTCAACGAAAAACTAAAACATAAACGTTCGCAAACAAGTCTAACAAATACGCGGACTTAATTTACCGAACTTCTAATTAAAATTCGCACGACGATCCTCAATTGCATTTCTTGTCCTTTACAGATCCGCCGGCCTCGAACGAGTTCGAGCATCCAGCGCCATCTGAGCTGTCGACCTTGTGTTTCTTCAACGTCTTTCTGCCATCCGGATTACCCTCTGAACATTTACCAGCTGCCTTCAGCGACATGGACTGCAACACTCTCTCGTTGCTCTGTAACGGTGGCTTTTGAGCCGAGGATTGGGCGCATTTCTCGCCACTCAGCGACAGAGATCTCTGAACAAACGACTGGGAGCATTTCTCGCCGCTCTGAGGGAAAGACTTTTGAGTCTGAGAGCCTCTCTCGATGCTCTGCAGCAACGACTTCTGAGCCAACGAACCTTTCTCGCCACATTGTGACGATGGTTTTTGAGCAAAGAGCTGAGAGGCTTTCTCGTTGGTTTGCGATTGCTTGTGAGTAGACTGAGAGCTACGCGCGAGCATATTGAACGGGCTATCGGGCTCTACTTTCGATTCGTGACTGCGACGATTGTCCATAGCTTTCTCTTGCTCGGTTGGCTTGCTGGAGGAAGCGTTAGCCTTGTCAGTTCTCTCGGAAGATAGGGTCTCCTTTGATGAGTAATCGTCAGCCTTGGTTCCTGTCGGCGAGTCCTTCTCCTCCGCTATTCTGGGTAGCTGCGTGCTGCCGCAGGAGTTCGACATACCCACCGCTCCCAAGTTGATCGATATCGCGTGTGACAGCTTGGAGTAGTCGGACTTCTGATCGGTAGACGGTTTCTTCTCGATCTTCGAGTCGTTTGCTTCTTTGAAGCTGTCTCCGCTCTCGTCGAGGACCTCGGAGTGGGACGACGATTGCGCTATGGTCACGCGGGGTGTTACTTTCACCACTGCGTTCGCCAACGGCGATATCGACGTCTTGTTCTCCGCTGAGCGTGGGTGAAGCCTGTCCGGGCTGAGGGCTCTCCTCAGCAACGGGGAACCAGGCTCCGCCGACTTTGGACGACCGTAGCTCTTCTTCTGATTGTTTGGCGTTGACAAACAGACACCTGTATAAATATATTTCTGTGTTAATTGATTCAGAACTGGTGCTCATCAAATAAATTCTCCCTCGATTTAGTTTAATCCTGCCAATAAATGAATAATAATTAATCATTAGAGATGACGATAAATAATAGAGTTGTTTCCACAGTACCTGGACTATAGGACTGCGTAGTATTGGAACTACCAGGCTGGTGTCCCGTGGGAAACGCTAACGGACTGGGACTCCTGGTTGGACTGGCGGGAAGAGGCGACGGGCTCGGTGTCCTGGCCAACGGGGACAACGGTATATGTCCCACGGATTTCCTGCGGTTAGGTGAATGGATATTTTTCGCCGCCGTGTGCAACTTGTGCTTCAAACCGTGAAGAGTGCTGGGTCTCTGATAGTGAGACTGATTGGAGATGGCCGTTAAATTTGCTGCCGATGTGTTGGAACCCGGGGATGAAGAATTAGGGCTGGAGCAGGGGCTCGAGTTGCTGGTGGAGTGATAGGACTCCAAGCTGACGCGATTCGTAGGTGGCGATGGACTGCAAACGGACTTTGTGCAAGCTGCGAAATAGGGCGACGATTCCTGAGAACGCGTGAACGACTGGAAAGATCGACTGGGCGTCACCATCGACGGTGAACAAATTCCTGCAGCCATCTGAGAAAAGGTCATTGAATATTTCGTTTCAACAACTATAACATCATTTGTTACTGTATTACATTTGTCTTTCGGATACTACTGTATAGATTATGCGTTATGGAACATTTTGAACTCTCTGTGATCTGTGTTGTGTAAGAACTTTTGTATACTGTCGCGGATCAGTTAGGAAAGCAACACTTATAAGCTGACGCTCGGTCGTATCGAGCAAATGATAGTTCCGCTTAAAAAGAAATGAGAAACTGAAACGATATTAGGCAAGATGACGGCGAGAACGTTACAGAAAAATCATACCATAAGTGGAGGTTTGCTGTCGCTGGATAGAATGGGTGCTGACAATGGACAACTGATAGTTAATGGCTGCAATAAAGAACAAAAGTAACGCTTAACATAATCGGTGTGTTTGTTATTAAGTCGCCGCGGTGCTTTGGTATTTTTGTCTCGTAGTTTTGTGTAAGAGACAACAAAAAAACAAATCTACACTCATAATTTTAGCCACGAGCACACGTATTAGAAGTTTCTGTGATCAAAGTTACCGATGGTAAAAAGAGGCGAACGGTCTTTTTATACCTGCTGTATCTCCGCGCTATGTCGCTTCGAACTGAGCCTCTTAAAAAGAGACGTGTTTCGTTTCTTATCGGAATGATCGCGCTTCTGTTTGCGCTGCTTGTGCAGCGTTCTGCGCGCCATTTTGCTCTGAGCTAGATCTCTCTTCCGTCCGCCAGTTTTTATGCTGGTGTTCTCCAACGGAGTGCTGCGCAATGTCACGCGATCGACTCCGCTCAACATCAACTGTAGAACTTGTATATGGTATAAACCCTGCACTGGTTCACCGTTTATGTGAGTTATGAGGTCGCCTGGTCTCAAACCAGCCTCGAACGCCGGACTGGACTGGTCGACGGCCTGAAGAACGCAAGAAAAATTCAATAAACCACCCGTATCTATCATTAAATGTTCCAAACGTACCATAACCAGGTGATGCATCGTGTAAAAATCACTGTCCCCATAGTAGACTCTGATGGTGTGTACGGTGAAACCGAATCCACAAGGTCCTCTTCGAATGATGATAGGGGGCTTCAAGCTGGTCACGAGAGGGCTCAATTCACGGCAAGGGGACGTGTCCCTCGAAGAAGCAGTGGACGATCCACCGGGTGACTCGATCGGCTGAGTATTCAAGGACGCGTCATCTTAAAAATACAAGCACACGTTATGAAAACGATCTGACAAAGAGAATACAGATTTATCTGAAGGCGTACAAGAAAATTCGCTGGCCGGTATCACCAAGGACAGTCCACTGGTGGACGCAGACTTGATCACGGATCGTGACTTTTGCTTCGCGGACGACAAGATCACAGGCATCGCGGTGAACGATTCGAAGGAATCGGTGCTGGAGTTATGCTTGCTGTCCTCCGTCATGTCCCTGTTTGCAGCGACGAGATCCAACCTGCGATCATATTCCATATTTAATACATCCCTTCTCTTTGACCACGTAAACCTGAAGGTCAATGAACGATGGGTGCATGTTAGGGTAGCAAATTCAATGGGCGTATTTGATAACGATTAAAGAAAAGTTCGAATGAGGGGGCGATAAAAAGAATTAACACTGCGAAGATGCCTGAACGACTCACATGTGGTCATCATCAACGGATATACTGAACCTGGGCAGCTTATCGCGCGAGTGCACGTGTCTCTTTCTCTGGATCTGCGGACTGATGTCCTCGGACTCCGTCTGGGACGAGTCAGGTGTGCTCAGGCTGATCGATCCTTCTATCTGATTGTTCTTGATGACAGTTAGCTGAGACTCGCCACTCGTCGCCGTGGCTGGGCTACCGAACGACGCGTTCGATTTGTCCGCCTTTGGCGGAGTCTCCAAACAGGAGATGCTCTTTATCGAGGAGGAGGACCGGTTCTTCTCCAACGGGATCGATTCGATTAATTTGGATGGAGGGGTGACAGAGCTGGAGCATCCCAGAGACAGTTGCGCCACCGTGCGTTCGAGCTCCGTACGGAACAGTAGCTTCTTCGAAGCGTCGGACTCCGACTCTGGATTTATTTGCGGTGGACGGGTCTGCGAGATCTTCCGTGACTGAGGAGAGTACGAGGAGAACGATCCAAACAAAGGGGAGTCATCGGTGTCGTCGGTGTCGTCGCCGATGTCGTGATTGTATCTATCCATACGAGCTGCAAGAATATGTTTTGTTACTCTCTGACGTTACACAGCAAGCAATCCTCATTTTGGGACTTACTGTCGAAATAACTCGTGTCCTCGTCGTTGATCAGTTGCGGCACGAACTCAGCCTTCTGTCTGAGCAAACTGTTCCAGTTCACTCCGTAGAAATACGGGTGCTCTTTGACCTCGTGGGATCCCCCGGTTCCCAAACGATCTCTAGGACTCTGTTGCAGCAACGCCGTTATGATGTCTTTCGCTTCCGGTTGAACGGGCCAGTCCTCGTCGTCGGGCCACTCGATGTCATCTATGCAACCGTTCGATCGGTGTAATTTAACTGTAGTATAGTGAAGCTTAAGAGGGGAACACCTCATGTAAAATGAAATTTTTGAGCATTTTTTTTTTTGCTTAAATTGGTAGGAAATTTCAAAACCTAAGCTCAAAAACTAATTACTCGATTTTCATGAAACTTGGCATATATATTCTATAAATAATTGGCCTCGGCATGACGAGCTCCGATTTTTTTATTTTTCACTTAGAACCTTGTTATTAACAATTGTTCATAATCAAAGATCCGGTTATTATTTCAAACCTTCGCCATTTTTGGAATTTTGAAAATTTTAACAAAAGAAGAATGCCATGCTGAGCGTTTTTGCATAATCTAACTATTCCATTTTGATTTTTTTGTTTCACATCATTTTTGTGCATTGGATGCCATTTTCAAGCCACCATTGCACCATTATTAACAATTAAAATTGATAAAAAATATTTTTCTTTACATTATAACGTTATTAAATGATACTTGAAATTTTAAATGAATCTGTGCATTGGATTTTTGAAAAAAAATTCTTGAAAAACATGCCATTTACATGAGGTTCCTCCCCTTAAGGTGATACTCACCGTTCACTGTGTGAGCAAATAATTCTTCCGGAGTGTCGCCAAAAAATGGAACACAGCCAATTAGAAACTGGTAAAGTATAATGCCCATAGACCACCAATCAACAGGTTTGCCATATCCCTGACGTAATATCACTTCAGGGGCAATGTACTCAGGCGTACCGAACACCTGTTTATCCGAAAACTGTCTCGTATCCCTATCGATATATCCCTCGTACAGATTCGTCGCCACTAAAACACGCAAAATTTCTGTTTACCGCTGTTTAAATTGAACAACCTCGAGTCCTTTTGTTCGACCACTTACAGGACATAAGACCCATTTTACTCAGACCAAAATCGGTGAGTTTGATGTGACCAAGGGCGGTAATGAGTAAACTGTAAGTAAAAGAACGAGTGAAATAATCGAAGAACCAAACGAACCATCGATCCACGTACTTATCTGGCTTCAAGTCTCGATGAACGATGCCATAGTTGTGCAAATATTCAACGGCCAAAACGGTCTCCGCGAAATAGAACCTCGCCATATCCGGTGGTAGGGCGCCGATATTTTTTAACAGATTTGCACAGTCGCCCCCCTCTACATACTCCATCACCAAGCACAAGTGTTTCTGTAATCGAACAAACATAGTAAGTCTCATCGAAACTTCACCAGGCTTCTACTATATCTATGAGCCACGTACTTTTGTTTCGAAACTGCAATACATGGAAACTACAAACGGATTATCCGTAAAGCTCATTATGTCTCTCTCGGCAAATACTTGCTCCACTTGATTGCGCAGCATCAGATTGTTCTTGTTTATCTTTTTCATGGCGAACCTCAGCCTCGTGGTTTTCTCCTTTACCAAAAATACCGCCCCGTACGCGCCGTTACTAATCAGCTTCAGCACCTCGTAATCACTCTCGCACGGTACGCGCTGAGACTTTTCATCGTCCTTGTTTGGACTCGAGGTGATCTGCAAGTTGCTATCGCTGGAGCTAGCCGAATCCTCCAGCTTATTCAAATCTTCTTGCAATTCTATGGCGTGAAAATAGCATTGAATTTATATAATTTGTCAGAATTTCAATGAGAAAAACGGGAGTGAAAATTTTTACCCGATATCGGATCTCTGTTGAGGGAAAGTTTATTAACGATATACTGAGGTATATCTGTTTTTATTCCCGCGTTGATTTTTGCTTGACCTTCAGCCTGTTCCAGTAGATGATAGAACTCTTCCGGATCAAATTCTAAGCACTCCAATAGGCGAGCTGGACGCGATATTATCAGCAGTAATTTTTTTATGAGCCCCGTCAGTCTCGTTGCTGCCTCGAGCGATTTTTCTTTGGTCTGCGAACGAACGTTGTTTATTAAAAATCGGTTCGTGTATAACGGATGATTTGTAACAGTTACCTCCATCAATAGATGCTCCAAATTTTCGCTCATTTCGTAAAAATATCTGGTGGTGATCAACTTCTCCTGAGACTTTTGCAAACAATCCCTAGCCATCTCGATCACTTGATGATGCACGAATCGCAAAATCGGCAGAGAGTCCTGAGTCATGTTCGACATCACCTCGTACTCGTCCAGTTCCTTGTTCTCGTTGATGAAATTGGTCAGACGCTCTTCCATCTGCTGCGTCGCCTGACGAAAACATTTTCACGCGTTAAACAGAATTGCCGTAGTATCGTTGAAACATTCTCTGTTAAAAATTTGTACCTTTGGAAACCGTTCTTTATAAAGGGTGTTCATCATAACAATTTCGCTGTCCAACACGGGGGACCGGCTAGGACTGCTACAATTGAACAAACGTACACTATTTTACAAACAATGCTTTCACCAGGTATACTTAAAAACAGCGATGTCGTTCCAGCAACGGTACTTGCCTCAAACTACGGGAACGCGGTCTATGCAACGGCGATCTACGGCCTTCCTCGTCGAGGCTGAGGGACACGCTGCCTGGAATACTGGAGATGTTGGAACCTGGGAATCCAGGATGAGAAGAACACGGCGTGCCAGGTTTAGAAAAATGACAAGAAAGCATACGCAACTCGTCCTTGGTCGGAACATTTGGAAGTTGATGCAAACGTTCTTGGCTCGAGTACTGTGACTAATTAAGTACACGATGATGTGTAAATCGTCGAGAGTTTGTGCTCTAAAAATTGATAAAGGACTAACCGAAACGTTGCTGGAGCCTGGTGTCGTACCGTATCCACTGGAAGGCAAACTAGCCACCGACCATCGTCTGCCATCTCCGGTTCCTGTCGCACCTCCACCGATCCTTCAATATCACATGCAACTTAAGTATCAGTTCCATAATTCAGAAATCTATTTTTATCTAGGCACTACACAGATAACAACAACGTTCGCTATAACGCAACAAGAGATCTTACAACCACGTTCTTCGTTTTTTTTTTAAGATTACACAGCTCGGTTTCTGCAACGGCATATCTTGTTTTGTTTTTCTTTACTATTAATAATATATTAAAAATACAACGACCGCAACGGCGACACCTACTCACATAGGCGATCGGACCAGATTTAAACGCACTGAAAGTAGGTACAAAGTAGATACCTTTTAATTGGAGCAAAAGCAAAATGTGGACTGGATGACATCCTAGGACTCTCTAGGGGACTGCCTACAATCGGGACGAATGCTATATTGGGAAACAAGCAGTAAAAGAAATTATTCCGCTATAATAGTTAAGAGACATAAATAATATAAAAGACACGGTTCTAAGCAGATAGAAAGTAATTTTTCTAGGACACTGTTTCGGGACAGAGTTGCTTAAACGTTCTAGATCTAACACGCTCAAAACTAGATGTATCGCATGTACCCTGCAAATTGTAACAGTTTCACTATAGTATAAATATAAGTGTATGTATAAGTGTGTCTGTGTGTGTGTGTGTGTATAAGTAGGCATGTGTATTCAAATCTTGAATAAAGATGTGCCAGAATACTTATATAATATTCTCTTATAAGATACATAATACTCATGGTCACCAAACATCGTACAATTATATTTTGGTCCCTCTTGCTACATATACTTTTGGAGCATGATGTGTCTGTTAAGAGAGCTTGTAATGTCGAATGGCTAATAAAATTATATTTATATATTAGGGAGTGGAGAACGGAAACAAACAGCGATGTTTACATACCTGACATTGGCGAATGACATCTTGGTAAAGTAGGAGACGTCGTTGCGATAAAAGATTTACGAAGAACTGCTTTGGCAGCACGTCGTGGAATGTTAAAATCACGCTGTAAACATAATATGTGTATTATATTCGCGCGTACCATATAAATTAGAATATTTACAGCAACCATGGACTAACCACATGGACAGACAGAGACGGAGCAGACTTCCCGAAAGCAGAGTTCCTCATTCGAACCAAATTCGACAGTTCTCCGCTGACTGAAAACGTAAGACGGTTAAAAACCACAGAAAACGAAGGCTGTTTACTGTAGAGAAAAAATTGTATCGACCAGGCCGAACTGGAGCCTCCTTGCTTTCCATTTTAGGCAGCGCCGAATGCTTCTGCACATCCGCCTCGGCGCTGCAAGCAGACTCTTCGCTCTCTGCTTGATCGAACACCAGAACCCTGGCAGAATTGCCATGCGAACGAAGGCGGGGCCTGCTAGGCCTGTTTCTGTTTTGATCCATGCTTCTTCTATTATTTCCCTATCTCCAAAGCTCGAGTTACCTGAAATAAAATGCTCAAACGTTTATTATCACCCCTCGAAACAACGGGATCCGTTTTGTACCTCGTTCGATCCATTTCATTTGCAGCAGAGCACGGTAAATAAAAGGCGGGTACGGTCGACGAATTCACAGTCCATTCTTTCCCGTGGATGTTCGATCGTCGCCGAGGCCGATATTTGAAACTGGACGGGGAGCATCCGTGGACGATCCTTTCTCGCGTTGCTGTATGAAAATTCATAACGTGCATAAGAAGGGCAGGAAACCGCGATCGTAAAAGGAACGGAGTAGGTGGTCGTTCGAGGGAACGTCGTCACGGGCGACAGTACCTGTTCAAAAGAGGCGACAGGAGAGTCCCGCGGGTGAGGCGAACCGGGGTGGAAAGAAGGTGTCTTTCGACAGGAACGCGAGAAGAAGACACACGCGATACTTTGGACGCAACGAGCACGGCGGGGACGAAAGCAGAGCGGAGCCGAGCGGGAGAGGTGAATAATGATGAAAGGTGCGCGATTTACCGGGCACAACGAGCATGTCCTCTGAGGACAAGCGCGGCCCGGGTACGTGCAGGTGTCTTGGTCCCGGGACTAGACTCGCATTTCTCTCGTCGACGAGGAGAATTAATTACGAAACGCGGACCGACCATGGGTGCTCTGACTCATGATAGACGTACGCACACGTACACGCGCCCAGTCACCACGTAAAACGCACACGTTCAACGGGCCTGCATGCACGCACGCGCAGACGTACATTCATCATGAAAACGCGCACAAATACATGCATCCTTGGCCGCGTGAGCTGCAACCCAGAGAGAATCAACACAACGAACCCCCTTTACAGGATGTTTCGAAAAGATCGGTCGAAACCTTTGGGCGTGTATTTTACCCGGTTAACTGCAACTTTCAGACCCTTCTGTTTCAAATTCGAACGAAATTCTTTGGTCATTCTCACGTTTCGAACACGACACGAGGAAAAACGCGGCAGAAATGATACACCTATTATCGGTTTAACGATTCTAGTGTTTCTAAAATAATATGAAAAGCAGGAAAAAGGCAGCTCTGGGCCCCGAAAGCTTAATTTCGACACTGCATTCCATCAAAATACTCAACGACGCATTAACAATTCGTGACAGGATACGTTTAGGTGATGGGGAAACTTTAAATGTTCGAATTTAGAAACCAAAATGGTCTTGTAGTCGTTTATACAAACTCAATATTATCTTTATTTAATTTAAAAATGGCATTATCGGAAATACAGAACTGAAACGTTATTTCGAATTGGTATTCCTGCTTGGTTCTCTTCCATAGTGTGTTAACTGCTGACCATATTGGTACTGTTTCGTAGAAACCTCGCCATTGTTATATTGAATGTTTTATTGAACCTTTCCACCTTGGGGATCGATGTGTTTCCTGTCGCTCTCGCGATCGAGTTTAGCAAAAACATTGTTACGCGTTGGGAATACTTTTCCTTTCATTCATATTCAATTGTATTTTTTAATTTCCTCAACGTTGGCACCGACGGAATTGAACATAACCTTTATAAATAGTTTTGGAATTATTAAATACTTCTGAGCAATTAACTGCTTTTTAAATCTTTAATGAGGGGAAATAAAATAAATATCACGTAGTTTGGTAAATACTGACTATTCCACATTCTCAAGATCAAGCATCAGCTACATACGTAAACTGTTCCATCGAGTTTATGATTATTTGACTTTAGTAGCTCCTTAATTCTTGTAACAAAGATTTAATCTTAGTAACAAAGATTAAAGCAAGCAAACAATCTTCTATGAACTTGGTATTACCAATGACTAGAGACTGTGGATTTCAAAGTATTAATTGTATATGGAAACATGAAAAACATGTTAAGCATATAGGAAATATATTTCCTAAAATATGCTATAAAGACAATTATTATATTTAAAATATAATTGGAAGAACTCAAAGTCGTGTCCACGATTAGAAAAATATTGTTGGCCCTGAAAAGGGCCGTTTGTTTTGATCGTTTCAGGAACTTAAGCTCTCTCTCCACGAATCCTTCGTGCCAGTTGAATGTCCTTCGGCATGATGGTTACCCTCTTAGCATGGATAGCACAGAGATTAGTATCTTCAAATAGTCCAACGAGGTATGCTTCGCTAGCTTCTTGAAGAGCCATGACCGCCGAACTTTGGAAACGGAGGTCAGTTTTGAAATCTTGAGCGATTTCACGAACAAGCCGCTGAAACGGCAACTTTCTGATCAGAAGTTCGGTGCTCTTCTGGTATCTTCGAATTTCACGAAGAGCAACGGTCCCTGGACGGTAACGATGCGGTTTCTTCACTCCTCCTGTCGCAGGCGCGCTCTTGCGAGCAGCCTTTGTCGCCAACTGTTTTCGTGGTGCTTTACCACCGGTAGACTTTCTGGCAGTTTGCTTGGTACGAGCCATTTTGTTTATGCGAGGACGATACGAACGTTATGTTCTCAACGAGACAACTGACGGTTGCGGCGGAAACGCGCCGCTTATATGCCTTGCAGGGCGCAAGCTGCGCGCGTCTGATTGGCTCGTTACTCGCGGTGGGGGGTTAAGCGTTCGCAGCTGTGGGCAACCGTTCAATAGTCGTAGAGGAAATGACCCTTGTACCACATAAAGAAGGGTCTAAAAATGTATGGAAAAAGCAACAAAAGAACAACCATTTCTTTCTTAATTTCCCATTAAAATTATCACTTTAGGAAAACTACACTATCGTAATTTTTATAGAACAATTCATACGCATCTCCCGATATTCAAATTCGTTGATAAATCACAGCAATATCGATCGTGTATGTTTATAAACGATATAATGTAATAAATGAGTAGAACCTGTAATAATAAGTAAACGTATGGGAAAAAAGGTTTTGGGACAGTCGTAAATGCCAGATGGTAGACCGGTTTAACGAGGAAACTGCCCCAAGTGGCCGCTGAAAATACAAAAGAGACCCTCGTTATTACCGAAACTTTCCAAGCATCGACCTTGAAGCACCATGGGGTTTTCCCACTTTCTCGATTGCATTTCAAGATTGGAATCGCCCATTTCTAGATAAAACCGGAGCCAGTAAATTTAAAGAATTTCCCAAATTACCTTTGGCACTCGTACTTTTCCAAAGAAAGTACCGTTACGCGTTTACCATTATCGGCAGGGCACGTAAACAGAATTGGTTGTGTATATATAGGAAAGCGACATGGGCATATTTTGCACAGTGCACCATGGTTTCGTTATGCATCGTAACCTGTTTCCTCGTCGTTGCTGCTCTGACGACGAGCAGCAACGTTCATTGCAATCCGGTGTTCGAGGCGTTTAAAATGATCGGTAAATCGAACTCGTCCTCGAAATACGATCGTCCGAATTGCAACGTCACCGGAGCTGGCTATTTTCCTGTTACAGAAGGTACGCGTGAATTTAATAGGAAATAGTTCTACCACGGTTTGATTGAATTTTTAATGTTTGTGGAAACAGAGGATTTGAACCCGGACAGAATAGTCGGCGGAATGTACGCGAGAAGGAATCAGTTTCCCTTTATGGCCGTGGTGCATCGATTGTTGGGCAGAGGAATGATTTCACAATGCGGTGGGACAATCATTTCCCACAGATGGGTTTTAACGGCCGGCCATTGCGTGGCGGACCAGCCACGACAGTTTCTGGTAGTTTTCGGCGATATCGATAAATCCCGCGTCGGTTATAATTTTTACCAAGGACCTGGAACATCGATGATGACCGACTCCGGATTCCTCCACCCTCATTTCTCACCGACCATAAACGACGTTGGTCTGCTCTACATGCCGCGTGATATTCCATTCGGTGGTAAGTAAACTTGTTTCTCGTATTAATTTTCCGTGCAACAAAATAACCACGCTTCTTTTCAGAGGCGATTCAACCGATTCATTTGGCGGGAAAAGACGACACGTATGAAAGTTTTAACGGCAGAATGGGCACTGTTATCGGATGGGGAAAAGATCGATCAAAAAGCACGGGAACAAGGAGGCTGAAATACGCGACTATTCCCATAATATCGAATTCGAAATGTAGCATGACATGGGGCATAACATCGAACAAGCATATATGCACAGCAGCCGGTTACAAAAAGGACGCCTGTCAGGTAAAAGATCATTTTTATTCGTATAAATTTTTGGTCGTCGCTGTAGAGTGCCCGAATACTTTTGATACAGCCTGTACGCAGTCAGTTTTTTTTCAAACGTTCTCTCCTACTGTCTCGTTCAACGGCCCTTTTCCCCCCAAACAGACGTTGCGTGCCAGTTGGCCGTTACACACGCACACTTAGCTCGGATTCGTCCGTTATACATCACAGAAACACGTACAGGCTTGTCCGTTGTGCCTCCGCGCAGCTATCTTGCGCATCTTGCAGTCTACAAGGTCGCGTTGCCCGCCTCCCTCGCAGACGCATTTCGTGCATCGAAAGCATGAAACGATATTCTTCGTCGAACGTTAAACTCGCGTTTCCTTTAAATTAAAGCAGACCGAGAAGTTATGTAAGCAGTTACGATCAAAAATACTAAAAGACAACATACTCGTTTGCAGCTCCCTTAAATCTGTAGTCGGTCACCGATTATGTAACTTTGTCACTTTGTATTTATAGGAATTTAGGTGAATGATTACAAACTAACATTTACAGGGCGACAGCGGTGGACCTCTTATCGTGTTAGAAGATGGCGTCCCTGTTCAAATCGGAATCGTGAGTTACGGAGACGCGAGTTGCCCCAGCAGCAAACCCGGCGTGTTTTCGAGAGTCACGGGATACATCGACTGGATTCAAGAAGCTACAGGGATTCGTTTCTAAGAGATATTTGTGATATTGTCATTTTTATACAATCACGGCGACGAATGTTAATCGTTCGAAGACTTGCATACCTATGTACAAATAAATAATAGTATTTTTATAACCACGAAATTTTATTTTCTGCGTAATAAAATTCAACTAACAGTTGTGCAAGGAATGAGACAGTTTATACTTTGAATATTTTACAATGGAACATAAGCAATAAAGTTTTATTACTTTTGTAACTAATTACAAGCAATATACCCATATAATACCTAACCATGCAATAAAACTTTTTATTGTTGCACTTCAGGTAGATCAGAATTTCCTTAGGCGATATTACCTGTTATCGTCCGTGTTTCTCAAAGATATTAAGAATAAACGATATTGGAATGTTTGAATATACTAATGGATACCGCCTCGGGCAATTTTTACTAATTCACGAAATACCCATAAATACCAGAAATGTTCATCTTCGTTCTACGATGAATTTGATAAGTACGTTAACGTTCGTATTTATTTACTTTGTCAAGGTGTCTATAGCAGCGCAGAAAAAAATGGCCACGAGAAAATCGATACGATCAGTGAGCATATTAGCGACGATTTCGAAAATTCGATTATGGTAGTTATTCATTTTTCACGAATAATTGGTGGTTACTACGCAGCGGACAAATAATTTCCCTTCGTGGCGGTCGTTCCATCGATTTATTATCGGGTGGGGCAAACGATGGGACACTGCGTAGTTTTACGCAGGAATTTTTCGTCATTGTCGGCGTCATCGATAAAATCAGTCACGAGATACGATTTTAACAACGGCCCCGGTATCTCGACGATGACATAAGACGGCTATGATTCATCCAAAATATTATTACACGACATACCGTACATTAGTACGCAATGTAATATTACGTAGCATTCGAAATACGTATATTTTATGAACAGTTGTTTATCGAAACCAGAAACGTTCCTCGAATATTTGCTGGCACTGAAAAGTGCCGTTTTGACGAGAAAACAGGGAATATACAATAAACAATTTATTATTTATTGCGCGTTTCTTTGTAAATTCTGCGCAATTTCTCGAACAAGCCTCTCGAAAGGTTTCTTGGATATCAGCAATTTGGTACTCTTTTGATAATGGCGTATTTCCCGCAAGGATTTCTTCTCCGATGGGTCTTCGACTTTTTTCTTCGCTTTGTTGAATTGATTTATACGTGTCATTGTAACCGAACAATAGAACGTTGTGACCCTCCTCTCCCACTTACGAGCTGCAACAGCAGATGTTCCGCAGATGTTACCCCCCTATGTACCCTCGGTTCGACACGTCACAGCCGGTCATTGGCTGGCCGACCAGTGGTGGGGATACGGCGTCCAGCGAGTATAAAAACCCGGCGCAAACGTCGCTGGCATCAAACGTTGGTCTGCTGGCGAAGTTGTATCACTTTATTCGAAATATTACAAGATGACTGGCCGTGGAAAGGGAGGAAAGGGATTGGGAAAGGGAGGAGCGAAGCGGCATCGTAAAGTACTTCGTGATAATATCCAAGGTATCACAAAGCCTGCAATACGTCGTTTGGCTCGCCGTGGCGGTGTCAAACGTATATCTGGTCTCATCTATGAAGAAACTCGTGGTGTTCTGAAAGTCTTCCTGGAAAACGTTATCCGTGACGCAGTTACCTACACCGAGCACGCCAAACGAAAGACTGTAACTGCTATGGACGTTGTCTATGCGCTCAAGAGGCAAGGACGTACTCTCTACGGTTTTGGAGGTTAAGTGCAACATCATTGACGTGCGGTTGTCATCAATCGTCAAACAAACGGCCCTTTTCAGGGCCACAATTACTTGGAACTGAGAACTCTTTTGTTCAACTTTAATTTTTCCTGCAATCTTGAGATTCCCATATCCTGTCAAACATGTGTTACACAGCTGCTCTTGTGAATTCTAAAACATGGTAAAACATGGTCATTTATTCTACAAAGAAATGCTGTCGAAAATCATGTAGAAGTTTCTACATCTGATCGCATTCATTATCCAAGTCACTTTATATACGAGAAACTTCCATCATTTATGTTCTCTATTATTTATTTTAAAAATATGGAAGTATCATAGGTAATAGATCCGAATTTTCTCTGAATATTTTTATAATTCGTACGAAATGTAAAAATATTCACAGAAAACGGTCAAAGAAAGAGTTTTCTCTTTTTGCGTTCAATGTGAAGTTCGAGTATCGACTCGATATACCAAGAAGTGTGATGCACAATGGAATACGATGTTGCCATATCTCGGCGTCTGTCTGGCTTGCTCTCACATGAATTCTTATGGAACACGATGTTGCCAAATGTATTCTCTCAATAATAAATATCAAGATTTAACTTTACACATTTAAATAAGCATTAATCTTTAGGCAATAATAAATGAACGAATACACAAATTGGATGATTCCTTCTGTCTATTGCAATTTTTACTTTCCCATTACGGTAGTTACAAAATAACGATATTGATTTTATTACGTACAAATAGAATATGGTAGAATAAATACTAAACCAGAAAAAGTTATTAGAATAGCAGTTATATCAATAGGTTAGATTCAATGTTAATTGCACTTAACATAGATGCAATCTTAAAAGAGTTGTGTATCGTAAAAATGATGTCAAAATTACATTAACAAATGCTATACTTTGTGAAGTTGTTTCAAATCTCTCAAGTCATACACAAATTATGTGCATTTTTATATTGCATTGGTCCTATGCACAAATATCTACAATCTGCTAAAATAGTTACTTAAATGAATCCTAAATATAATATAGCTTGATTAAATAATGTTCATCACATTTATGTGAATTTTATATGTCCATAAAAACGAGTTTGTTATTCCCATAAATAATATTCATTGGTGGTCCTAAAAAGGACCAAGTGTCCTATACAAATTATATGCATTTTTATATTACATTGGTCCTATGTACAAATATCTTACAAGTCACTTAAGTGCAAAAACAGTTACTTAAATGAATTCTAAATATAATTTAGAATCATTAAATAATGTTCATCACATTTATGTGAATTTTATATGTCCATTAAAACAAGTTTGCTATTCCCAAATCAAATGTTAGTTGGTGGTCCTGAAAAGGACCATTGGGTTTCAATGAATTCTAAGTATAGTATAGAATCATTAAATAATGTTTATAAAATTTTATATGTTCATAAAAACAAGTTGGTTATTCCCATATCAAATGTAATTGGTGGCCCTGAAAAGGGCCGTTTTGTTCTGAAAAATCAGGATTAAGCTTTCTTTTCTGTCTTTTTTGGTAAAAGAACAGCTTGAATGTTCGGCAATACGCCTCCTTGTGCTATCGTCACTCCGGAAAGGAGTTTGTTCAATTCTTCGTCATTACGGATGGCCAGTTGCAGATGACGTGGTATAATTCTGGTTTTCTTGTTGTCACGGGCAGCGTTTCCAGCCAACTCCAAAACTTCAGCGGCCAAGTACTCCATAACAGCAGCCAGATAAACTGGAGCACCGGCACCAACACGCTCGGCATAATTTCCTTTCCTCAACAGACGATGAATACGACCAACGGGAAATTGTAGCCCGGCCCTGTTAGAGCGGGACTTCGCCTTCCCCTTGACTTTGCCACCTTTTCCACGTCCAGACATGATGAAGAATTAACTTGTACGGTTTAAAAACAACAACGTTCGTCGTTGAACTTCGGCTGGATAATGTGCTGGGGTGGGCTTAGAGGGGGGTTTATATAGCGCCGGAACGAAGAATCGTGCGCCCAATCGGAGCGCTGGGGGGGGAACGCTGCGCTCTGATTGGGCGGAGGTTACGGCCCCTTTCCGTGATAAATACCGGTCGGAAACAGCGCAACTCATTCGCAGCTGTATCTCGTACCTGTACGCATATCGCATTCAAGTAACCACTTTGACAAGAAACTCTCTCTGACAATGCCGCCCAAAGCTAGTGGAAAGGCGGTGAAGAAGGCTGGTAAAGCTCAAAAGAATATAAGCAAAACCGACAAGAAGAAGAAGCGAAGGAGGAAGGAAAGCTACGCAATCTACATTTACAAAGTTCTGAAACAAGTACATCCAGATACTGGTATTTCGAGCAAAGCCATGAGCATCATGAACAGTTTCGTGAATGATGTATTCGAACGCATTGCTGCTGAAGCATCTCGTCTGGCTCATTACAACAAACGATCGACCATAACCTCCCGGGAAATCCAAACTGCTGTACGTCTGCTGCTGCCTGGTGAACTTGCCAAACACGCCGTCAGTGAAGGAACTAAAGCTGTGACTAAGTATACCAGCTCCAAGTGAACATAATCACTACACAAACCGGCCCTTTTCAGGGCCACAAATCATTTCGAAACGTGTGACAATACTTTGCTTCCAACTGTTCTAAATTATAAAGTGTTTGAAATTTTTATTTCAGAACATTTTCTTTTCAGTATAGTGATATTCGAATTTTTAGACTGAATTTTAGTCTTCAATATGTGGTGCAAAATTTTACACAAACCGGCCCTTTTCAGGGCCACAAATCATTTCGAAACGTTTGACAATATTTTGCTTCTAACTGTTTTCAATTATTAAGTGTTTGAAATTTTTATTTTTTCAGTATAGTGATATTCGAATTTTTAGACTGAATTTAGTCTTTAATATGTGGTGGAAAATTTTATTCGGATATCAGTTAACAATTTCTAACATACCTAGATTTATTGACCATAGAATGACGAAAATAACTCGTTTTCTAGAAAACATAACCTATTCTTTCTCACTATATGATTACTATGGTGATCTATTGGTGATTGGCACTTAAATTTTCTCTTTAAAACGCTTGTATAAATGAATACATTTTATTTAATATAGTTCTTCAAAAATTTAATTATTCTATCGAATTTAAATTGCGAATAAAATGTTAGGTTTATTGATTATTAGAAGTCTCTCAGGAATACTCTGTTATTCGAATAAAATTTCGTTTATCTCGAGCCATAACTTGCAATGTTAAACTATGATTTATAATTTATAACCATAACTAGTGTTGTGCCAGTGTCCTAACCTTCAAACTACATGTTCTGTACGTCAAAGTTTTATTAAACTTTTTTTAACGATCGTGTAAATCGTAAGCTAAATATATTTCGAGCAATCTTGAAAACAGAATGTTTCTACGGATAAATAACGGTTTAGGTTTTTAAAAAAGAATAAATACGAACACGTATGTATGTATGTATATCGTACGAACGATGTAGCGAGCATTATATCGTGACTAGGCCCTTGCCACTGCATAAGTGGAATGCGTGCAAGAATAATTCTAAGCTTTCTATTTTCTTAGGGTCTCGTGCAAAAGCCAGGTAGCCCTGGTAAACCCTTGGTAACCAGAGCCCTACGAAACGTTCGTTTTCTTACAAAGCCTCTCTCAATGGGGGCTCTTCACTTTTATTGCCTTGTTCCCTTCCCATAAACCATTTTCCCTTTTCAATTTTCCATGTTCCTCTACCGTTTCTTTTCTTTCCTCTTTTGTTTAGCTTCCTCGGTGACAAAATCGACAGAACTATCGAACAATTCGTCTTGGCTCGTCCCTAACCTACGTGTAACACTTAACCTGAAATAAACTTCTATTTAATCGTGAATAGTTCTCTTGTCGTATTTATTTCGCCGTTTACAAGTCCCCTCGATCTATTTAACGAAGTTAATGGGTAATAGAAATAAATTACTGCAACATTTTAATAAGATATTTACCATATATATATATATATATTTAAATTTGAAGATACAATATGAACGAATATATGTTGCATGATCTTTGATGGGATATATAAATTTATACAGATTATAGGAATGAAACTAAAGTCCACAAATGCTACAAGACATATATACCAAAACGTGTGTACTTTTCAAATCATATTTTATTCGTGTATCATAATCATTCGCTTCTTAAAAAATTATTTTAGACACATTATCTACTAATATTCGAACGTTACTGCGAAGAAAAAAAAGCTACATTTAAAATCCTTATTTCGTACGATTATTATGTACAAATCTTAAACCTGTAATTATTCTATGTCGTATACAAAAAGAATTTATAGGTTAGGGTTTTCTTATTATTACGTATCACAGTTATGGTTCCTAATGTTTAATACCGTTCTAGATTGTCTAAATTGTTCCATGTCAAATAGTTTGTGGCCCTGAAAAGGGCCATTTTCGTTTCGAATAAAATCTCAAAAATTGTGAAGAAAAATTATTTCTTTGCTGCTGCTTTCACCACTTTTGGCGCCGCCTTCTTTGGCTTCGGGGTTCTCGTTTTCGCCGCTGGTGCCTTAACCGTCTTCTTGCTTTTCGAAATGGATTTCGGTTCACTCGCTGGTTTTGCTTTCTCGGTTTTCTCCGCCGCCTTAGCAGGCTTCTTCGCTGCCGCTGCTTTCTTCGGTGTTTCTGCTTTCTTTATCGGGCTGGATTTCTTCGCTGGCGCAGGTTTACGCACTGGCGTCGTCTTTTTCTCAACAGATTTTTTCACTTTCTTCGGTTCGGCCACCTTCACCGCAGCCCGTTGCACTCTCGTCTTGGTCTCTGTACCTTTGGTCATCGGTAGTTTGAACGAACCTGAAGCACCTTTACCCTTCGTCTGAACAACAGCACCGGAGGTAACAGCAGACTTCAAGTATCTCTTGATGAAAGGTGCCAGTTTCTCGCCGTCCACCTTGTACGTGGACGCCATGTATTTTTTGATGGCTTGCAGGGACGATCCTTTGCGATCCTTCAGCTCTCTGATGGCAGATGTCACCATCTCGGAAGTAGGCGGATGAGAGGATTTCGTCCGTTGAGATCTTATTGATTTTCCCTTCGGTGTCGACTTCTTCGGTGGACTGGCGTTGCTCTCGACACTCTCAACCGCGGTACCTCCCGTATTTCCTTTGTCCTCCATTTTATCACTACCGAAACAGTCTTTTTTTTCTGTTCAAAATCGACTCTCTTGTAAATCGCGCAATAAAATTATTCAATCGACAAGCAGACAATAATCACACGTGAACCGACAGTACTCTGACGCATACTAGCGCCACTGAAACGGCGTATATGGTCTGCGAGCACGGACCATGAAGAGTGACCGGCGAATATCTTGAGCGACAAGTTTCTCGAAAAACGACGAAGCGGCAAACGATCGTCCGAATTCGAACAATAATTTCTCTGATTCGGGAGACCATTGCGAATGAACAAAAGTCTGAATAAATGGCCACGTGTATCTAGTTTTATTTTCTATTTCTCTTCGTACGATAAAAGCCACTGGGTTTCGTACACGGCACGATTTTCTGGCAAGTGTCTTTTCGCCAGACTGGGGTACACCACGGAAAAACAATAAAAATTAATGATTTATTGAACAATTGTCTCTGTATTTTTATCCCAAACGATCCTAATGGTACCGTTGCTGAATGCTATGGATTAATTTTTAAGAAAGCTTCTCTAGTTTCTTAAAAATCACGCGTATAAAATAGGCGGTGCCAAAATCTGTATCTGCAAGGTGCTCGTGATAAAGGCTGCTTTAATATTTTATAAACCGACAATATGTAATGCGATATTAAAATAATTTCGATTCCGGTAGAAATTAGTATCACGAGGGGCAAATAAAACGATCGAAATAATGATGTAGGATAAATTGAAACGGAATAAATTTGATGCGTTTTCATAGAACGTAAGTCACGAAAGTCATAACCTCATCGTGCAACATCGAAACGTAGATAATTAATAGAATTTCTATAACGTTGGGTTCAATCCACGAATAATTCCTGATAAGAATGTATTCTAATAAACGTACGGAAATCGATGGTGGTAAAGAGGTTAGGAAAGAAAAGAATTTTATGAAACGAAAAGTCATATATCGATGATACGGTTCTAGCATGAATTCGCTGTGGAATGGTTTCTATTTTTACGATTTTATATTAACCGTTTGCAATTTTAACGTACTTAAGTACAATGTAAACATTGTTTGATCAGAAAGCATTCTTCGATGCGTCATATATTAAAATATTCGATATAGTCAAGGTTACATTACAAAACGACAACGAAATGTCTTCTTCCATGATTATAAAAATGGAGACCCATGATATTTCATAGGATATTCACATTTATTATATCAATTTTACACGGAATGTACAAAAATTACACGGTTTCGCCGAAAAACGGGATATTTCGTGCATGTACATGATTTTGTTAACCTGATATATAAAAAAAATAGGCGAAAACAAATTAACAAATTATTCGAGATCGATGTTCGTCCGCTAGGGTAGACATGTTGTTTCAGAGAGTATTGTTTGGATAGTTGGAATATTTCTTGCGAAATTTTACCGTTATTTAGCGATTTGTTGTTAACGGACATTTCTATCGAGATAACACGACACGTTACACGAACAACAGTTTTTATTCGTTAATGTCGGAAGTCCTTTGTGTTGGCTGAGAACAAGCATTTTCTATTATGCAATTAATCCGGATATTAATTCAGTTCTACGTGTTTTCCCTGAATAACATATCCCAAGATCGGATATGTTAATTGCAGGAACATTTTTGTTGCTTGGCAGTTTTACAATATTCGACGCAATTTGCGTCTTTTGGTCAGGGCATATATAAAAGACAACAAAGAAAATGATTTGAAGACGAAGCCATATAAATATGCCCTGAATACGCTGATAGGGCGCGAAACTTGGCATGATTTACCCCCCAAAAAAAAAAAATATCAAACCATTATTCAAAACGAGGCCTTTATTTCGAGAATTACAATTTTTCGAGTTCAAATCTAAATGCTTGAAATCTACTTGCAATTTATACTGTACTTAACCATTAAATTTTTGTAATTTCTAACACAACTATCATTCTCACGGGAAAAACGTGAAATTTTCGATCTTGTAACGTAAAGTCGATAAATATCCAGTATATGGTTACGAGGGAAACAATTAAAGAGCAAATAGAATTTTTACTTATCTCGTGTCTATTTTTAACTTTTAACAATGTTACTACGCATCGTAGTTTTCATTTTGAGGTTATGTCCACCGAAATCCTATCGTAATCTTGCAAGTGCAATTTCGAATAACTTTTCAGATATCTGCATTTGCAATAATTCATACGAGTGGTAATAGAAAAAAAACTAACAATTTATGTTTCATCGGTATATTTTACCATCCGATAGTTTCTGTACCAAGAAATCGATCGAATGGTTCTGTTTCGTTTGAGGGAATTAAAGGACGAAAGGTGAACGATACGCGTTAATTGAAAACGTAATCTTTTTATGGAAGCGCGGGAAAGTATTCCTAAGGACCGTGTGGTAACAGTAGTGAGAAAACGTTTTGCAGCGGCCGGTCTCTTTGGGTGGGGAAAATCAATAGGAAAACCCGAGTTCAATTCAGAGGTATGGGTCATTAACGTTTAGCGGATGATACGCGTGGTGTTATTTTTGAATGTTTTACCGTGGATACGCGATGCATCCTCGCTCGTGGAACATTCGCAATGACACGTACGAAAAGCTGTGCATCCTGACGCGCGTGAAAGTTCCACAGAACGCATAGTGGTGAATCGGTGATGTTTAACAGCTGTGTTCGATAAGAAGAAAAATGTTATGACATTGTATAATCATTGATGCTTCTCGACGACCAGTTCGTAACACTGTACATACATCGGGGACTGCACACGTAACAACGATGATACTTGAAAAGATTCTGTTCGTTTGTTTCGCGTCGTGTCTCTTGCCATGGATCGAACACGTTGAAACCACTCATATCTCCGGCACGTTCAATACGAGAGAATTTTTTCGCTTTCTCATTAAATTCGGTTTCCAAAAGACCGATCGACATCGGCAGAAGGACTCGTACGGTTATATTTTTGGCAACGTAACGTCGAAAAGCAATTTCTCTGCGCCGATTACCTTGGCAGTCCTGGACCGAGGTGATTTCGTAGAATACTATGGTAATCGTACCCTAAAGAACAAGAGTACCGCCTGTACTCTTATGTTCAATACCTTGAATCAAAGCTCTTACGACGTACACTGTAACAAAGAAGGTCAGGACTTCTTGAGGTACGTTGTTTAATTAACTTATAATCCCCCGTTATAGAATTAACTACCGTTTGTTTATTTTTTAACAGGAGAGTACCCTGTCCGAAAGGTAAACTATGCCCAGACGAAGATTCCATATGGAACATCGTGAAGGGGCACCAATTCACGTACGTCATACAGGATTTTTGGCAGCCACGTTTCTGGTACATGAGTCTAGTGGCGTGTTATAGAAACACAACTACGTGCCAGTGGGAATACTACGAGAAACACGACGAATTAGAGTACGATATTTGGCTGATAAACGGTAACCCGAATACCACAGGCCTAAGCAGTTTAACGTACCAGTTTTCGTACGATAGACAAAACACCACTGGACTGTACCTGTTGGTTTTCATATGTTATATTATACTGGTACCGCTGCAATTGTACGCAGTGAGATTGCAGAAACACCCTGTGACAAGATTATTCACTGCTAGTTTACTATTAGAATTTATAGCAGTGTGTTTAATTTTGATACACGTGTTGAAATTCGCTCTCGACGGAGTCGGCTACGAACAGTTGGAAGTTGCGGGTGATATTTTTGATATTCTATCACGAGTAAGTTTTGATATCTATGAATTTAATTTTTATTAACGTTTAATATTTATTTTAACATGTTTCAGACATTATTCATGTTGTTGCTTCTCTTGCTTGCCAAAGGATGGGCTGTAACAAGAATGGAATTAACGTGGAAGCCTTTAGTTTTTGCTATATGGCTTTGTTACGGAGTGGTCCATATTCTGCTATACGTATGGAACATGGTACGTTTCTATTTATAAAATTAAAATTCGAGATAAAAATATATTCGACGTTTTCAGACGGAAGTCGATATCATCGAAGATATCGACGAGTACCAGACATGGCCGGGCTGGTTCATCCTTTTGTTTCGAAGTACAATAATGATCTGGTTTTTATGCGAGCTAAGAAATACCATGACGTACGAACACAACACTCAAAAGTTAAACTTTTTACTACACTTCGGTGCATCCTCCTTAGTTTGGTTCATTTATCTACCAATTATAGCGCTCATAGCACTTCAAGTAAGCGCATTGTGGAGGTTTAAACTTCTGTTGGGTAAGTATTATTATGTAATGTGAAATTTAACGGAATTCGTAATTTTTACACGATGCATTTCTAGGTATTACATACTCGTTTGATTGTTTTGCATATTACGTGATGGCACATTTACTGTGGCCGACACGGAGCGAACAATACTTTTTACTCGCACAAGGAGCGGACAACGGCGACGAGCTGGATGAATTTAACGAAGCACCGCACGTACTAAATAATTACGTAGAACCGCCGGAACTTAGTAAAATTATTACTTAATATCAGATCACAAACGGCAAAGGGCCACACGGATGAGAAATCAAACTTGCACCTCGGTTTGATGCATGCTACAGTTTGCCAAATGGTAAAATTCTATAGAGTTGATAATACTCTGCTACATGCTACTTGAGACTGATATATTCTGCGCACTCTGTAATTAGGGACACTAATAATCAAATTCATACATGTGATAGAAGGTCAATAATTGACTCGAGAAAAATAAAAAAAATTGGTGAGTATGATATGAGTACTTTCGGATAATTGATTTGTCATTTAGCGTGGGAAGTAAATACACGAATTAAGTTGTAGAAATTTGTAGATATATAATGTTAATGTACGATGTTTATGTAACATAATGATAATGTATAATGAATGTATATTTATAACATTTACGCCAATGTACATAACAGTAACATTTAGATGTCAAGTATTCAATGTTTAGAGGAATCTATTACGGCTAGCGAATATACATAGTCTTACATTACTCGTTTCTACTTGTTTAGTGTTATTAAAAACGAACATTTTAGTGGTACAATCGACATCGTTCATTTACTCATGTCATACTCTTTAATCATGTCTGTTTAATATTAATGATACTGTTTTAACTGTTAACTTATTTTCAGTGCTGTCTAACGATTACGCTTAGGTAATCTATAGAGGTGCACGGGTAGCCTGAAATTCGGGATTAGATAGTCAAGAAAGTGTGACGAATTCGAGGACAACCCGGTACATTTCGATGTATCGAGCTCTGCCTTCAATTTGCCAATTATTCAGCGGCCCAAATTCGAATTTCGGGTTATTCGCATATCCCTGATAATTTAATAAGCTAATTATAAAATAATATGTAAGGAATTTTTTAATCCTGTACTATGGGTGCACATTTTTCATGATAGTACCGATAATGCATTTTATAACTACATAACGTTTGCTCTGTATGGAAACTATTACACTGCGCGCTTGAAGGAGTATGAAAATTGAAATTAAAATCGACGTGATTTTTCTTCGTATTTTTTCTAACGGAATATGTGTTTGCATAAGAACATGTACAACTATAATATGTATTAACGAAATTGTGCATTGATACACTATACACAAGGTTTTCATAAAGAAAGGATATTCTTAATGCATCTATAATTTTTTCAATATTAGGAGCATAACACTATTGCGATTCAAGTAATTAAAAATATAACTTTTATATGCATTTTAATAACAGAAGCCATTGTATTTATATTTCGTTCAACATTTTTTACCTTTTCTTTGTACAAAAATACACAAACATGAAATGTTTAACCGTTCGAGCGCTACTCTTTTGTTCTGCAAATTGTATTCCGCACTTTGAACGTATACAAGAAAAATTCTTCAGCGCTCGAACGGTTAAAATATTAAATTACGCGAAATTTTTATGGAAATTTTTAAGCGTTAATAACGATTTATGGGAGAAGAACATGTATCAGTACCTTTTTACATAGTACAATTTTAAACCCATAGTGTAACGAAACCGATTGAAATTATTATTTTATATTTATCAATACTTCTGTACGCGATTACGTAAGTTAGAATAGTAATATATGTTTCGTTTATAAAGACAAGTAAAAGACATGCAAATTGTGCTGGCATAAACATTGCATGATCTATATTATGTATTATTTTAAAAAACGAAAGTTCCATGTTCCGATCGATCTACAATATTCCATGTATGTTCTTCAAAAATTTTAAAAGCAGTTTTATTTCTACTATCATATATGGGGATAGGAGTAAAACAACATTTTAGCATGTTAATAAAGTATTAATTGAAACGAATTTTAAGAGTTCTGGTACGTTGTAACTTTATTTGAATGTTCATAACAGAAATACCCTTTGTACATGTCTAACAGAATTACAATAACTTCAAATTTGAAGTAAGGTCATCTATGACTTCTTTGGGGCCCGGTCCAATTCCAAGCGCAGAGATCGTACCCGATTCTAACTGAGTTCTTCCTGCATCTTTTATTATGGCGATGATAAGACCAGCTTTACGGGCTTTACGTGCCAACGACAGTAAACTTTCTTCGTCGGATATTCTTAGAACAATTTTAGGCTGACCTCTTAATAACCAAGACTCGAACAATGGTTTGTACTTTGCATTCTCTACTGCTTGACGATAACACTCTACGGCTGCATGTGCACATTGAGCTGCAGTTTTTCCCTTTCCCATGGATATATCTGATCTTACGACCAGCACCATTTTACAGTTTTCGATATTGGAGAAAGTCAAGGCATGACTACACGCGTGTTTTATATAATTTATTATTGTCCTCATGCTTATGAGATTAATTAAGAATACGACTGTTCTCGATTTCTCTGATATTCATTCATGCATACTTTAAACTTTTGTACTTGTTCTTGGCACTTTCTCCAGTCTTGCGTCTCTGCAATACATTCCTAAAAACGTTGTTCAACTGGTATATATTTTGTTACATTGTAGGCTTTCAATATTTAAATATATTCGTAAGATTAATACTTGAACTTGATAATGCAATTCCATACATCCAGTTTTCTTTAACATCTCCTCGACTGGATCTTCGATATTCTTCTGTTCTTGTGTGGTTAGATTCGAAGTGATAGTCATGTTAAATTCGAACAATTCTATACGCGACTTAATGATTCAAATTTAAAGTATAAAAGAACATGTTCGGTGCATCAGAAGCATCGAGGTTACTGCTCTCCGTGTGCTTTTTTAAATCCTATACTACGTACAAAATAAGACAAACGAGGAATGTAGTATGCATCAACGGTCGCTATCGAAAGTAATTGAAATCTAGCTTCACGGTGTTAGGTTTAAATAATACATTTCGGTTGATCGTTCTGAACCGTATCGATCGATTAAAATAATTCATTTAAGCGTGAAGAATAAGTACTTTCGTTATTAATTAGTTTTAATATGTATCGCGAGTGCATTAAATTTTGTTATTTCGTATAAGAAACGCGTTTGTGATCAAATCGTGGAAGAATTTGTGAAATATATGTGCGAGCATTGTGGCCAGATCGGGCATAATTCAGTGCATCGAAATCGACGATAGTGACGACGATTTTCCTTAACGTTTAACGGAGTGATGGGAAAAGCAGACATCTCTTACCGTACAAGCCACAGGTCAGCATTTCATGCAACTTCGGGAAATGGATGGAGAACGTCAAGGGGAAGCCTTTCCTTCTTGCATTTGAACAGCTGACGTCAGTCTTCGCGGCATTCAATTTCGAATCTCCATTGCCCAGGTATTCTTGTTCTTCGATCGTGTTTGAAATAAAACAATACTTTGGAAATAAATCGTTTGAATATAGTTTATCAAGTAAGACTTTCGAAATTATTTTCAAACGATTTATTTTCTAATTGTTCTATTAATTCAAATAGTAATTCTTTGATTTTATAACAAAGAATGTTTATTTAATATTTAATTCAATTTGTATTTCTATATTTTTTGCCTATACAGGCAAATATACCATGCTCAGTTTTATTACATAAATTGTTCCATAACAGAGGTGTTCAGTCTCTGAATTGTTCAATATAAAAGTTGTTCAGTTTTTCTTGGTCTTTAAAAAGACCGATTTGTACCTTGACCGCTGCTCGTCAACCATCTTCTTGGCCATCGTCGATTTTGATTGAATGCAAATCTTCGATTAAATTCTTCATCTCGTTACGATCCGTCTTGTTTGGTGGTTGAACGATGACTGCCGCGGACTCGCCAGGGGGCACGATTTTTATAAACTTTCCTGAAGCTAGCGCGATTGGCTGAGGGAGTCGCTAGTTGACAGATATGATCAGTAATTGCAAATAAAATAAATAAGAATTATTATTTGAAATAATGGAATACTTATAGGTATATATAAATAATTTCTACATATTCTCCATCAAAATACGCGTTGTTTGCAACTTGAAACATTAAGATCCTTCAATCCGTTCAGAAATTATAATGTTTTAAAGATAAATAATGTTCGTTTGACATTTCACTGCGTATGTTTAAAACATTATAACTTCTGAACGGATTGAAGGATCTTAATGTTTCAAAGTGCAAACAACGCGTATTTTGGTGAGGAATATGCAGACATTCTAAGAATATTCGAAAAATTACTCGGTATTTATGCAATTTTGTTGTTTATGCAACTTTGTTAATCAAGTGTCGCCCCCATCGGAATGTCGCCCCAGCGGACTGGATGCTGATTGGCTGCTGTATTTGTTGCCTCCAAGTGCATAAAAGAGGCCACAGATGACCAACAATTTTCAGTACTCCTGGAACCGCCGGGGGTACTGTTACGCGTAATTTCTGTTTCAGATTCTCTGATTCTACGATGCTGACTGGTATCGCCGATTGGTATAATACATACATATATTTATATTTATATAACTAATACCATTATTGTGTTTTCTATTTATATATAGGGATGTATTATTTCGTTGTTTCTGTTCGTCTCTCCAATAATTCATTCGTTTTTTCTTTCAGCTTTTATCTACATATATTACATCGTTGGGTAGAAATTTTTCCAATTATTCTGTTCTTTATTTTCGACATCGATGGGTTGTTATTTTTCGAATTATTTTCTTCTTCATTCTTTACTTCGTTGGGTTGTGATTTTTCAAATCATTTTGTTCCTCATTATTTTCATCGTGGGGTTGTTATTTTTTCACTTATTCTGTTTTTGGTTATGTTGATTGTTTATTTGTATTTGTATTTGCCCCTATATTTGTTCGTATAATTAATTCTAATTTGTGTGTCTAACTACTAATTTTTATTTTAGTTTTTATTCAGATCAATTTTTAGAGGGAGGACTTCGGATTCATCTGCACGTAAGAACATTAAATTTAAGGCGCAGCGCGAGTGTAAAAATTAACGTCGAATATTTCTTTTTCCTTTCTTTCTCATTCCCATGTTTATTTCAATTCCTTAATTTCATTAATTCCACCTACGACGTTAATTTTCAATTTACATTGTATATTATTTTATTTACTGCGTAGATTGCCAAGTGATGAAATAATTAATAGCTTCTTTTCCAGTCTCGTTTCTCCGGTCACCGCTGCTTTAATGTAAAAAGCAAGTGATCGGCCGTTTAGATGGTTCGAAGGGTCGGTTGCCGTCCTCTGGTGGGACAATTCTAGGGAAAGAGTCATCGGCCGTAGAGGGGACCTGTTCCTGTCTGCGGTAGCCCGGATTCAGGATCTCTCTCCTTTGTCAGCCATCCCGAGTTGGGTCCCGTGGGCTCCCAGCAGGATGCGTAGGAGAAATGGAGAACCCGTGCCTGGTGCGTCGATTCTCTTCCCCTTCAATTGGACTCGCTGAGAGGCAACGAGCTGCCCCTTTTGACCCGCTATTCGGTACGTGTCGCACCTCATATTCCTACTGCACTGTGCAGTATTGTGTCGCGTTTCGTCGTGTCGCGTCTCCTACAATATAGCTTCCTCCTTTGTTTTAGAACAGTAATTACTTGGCATCTTTTTTTTTGCGTAATCTAAGTGTGTAAAAAGGAAGGTCGACCGAACTTTGTTCCATCGATCTCACTTTGGGTCTCCATTCGCAGCAACCTCCTCGTGGTGAGACCTGGTAATCGGTGTTACCTTTGAAGAAGAAATTCTTCATTATGGGTAACACCGAGCTAATGGCTGCGAATTTAAAAAAATAGAAATTTGACTTTTAATCTGAATCAAAATGAAATGTTGTCTAATACTTTTTTCTAAGTATTCACGAGCTCAACTTCTAGAAAAAATTTCAATGAGATAAGTTTTACTATTGTAAAAGTTATGATCGTTTGAAAATTGACAATTTTTCTGAACAATTTGAGATGAAGAATTTAATTGAAGATTTCCATTCAATCAAAATCGAAGATGGCCAAGGGACAAATCGGTCTTTTTAAAGACCAAGAAAATCTCATATTTGGGAACAACATCTAAACTGAACAAATAAACTTTTATATTGAACAATTCAGAGACTGAACATCTCTGTTATGGAACAACTTATGCAATAAAACTGAACATGATATATTTCCCTATACAATAGGCAAAAAATATACAAATACAAATTGAATTAAATATTAAATAAACATTCTTTGTTATAGAATCAAAGAATTATTGTTTGAAATAATAGAACAATTAGAAAATAAATCGTTTGAAAATAATTTCGAAAGTCTTACTTGATAAACTATATTCAAACGATTTATTTTCGTAGTAATGTTTTATTTCAAACACGATCACGGTGTCTTAAAACGTGTATTTTCGTGAAAATTTTTCATTCATTATAGACTAAAAATGCGTGGGCAATCGAGATTCAATATTGTATATCGAGAAGGCGGTTCAAGAGCAAGAAGGAAAGGTTCTCTTTCACGTTCTTTATCGATTTTCCCGAAGTTGCATGAAACGTTGACCGAGCGTAACATGTGGCTCGTGCATTAAGGTATGTCTGCTTTAAACGCTAAGGATGTTCGTCGTTACTAATGGCGTCATCGATGCACTCGATTATGGCAAATCTGGCTACAGTGTATGCGAGTGTGCAAATGGCGGGTAAGGCGCTAGCTTCGACATATGGCCACCGATGTCGAAGTTCTCCAGCAGACGACAACAAGCCATGGCGTAGTGTGGTCGGGGAAGCATGACATTTATTTTATCTCGGTGTTCGTGCCGCCAACATCGCGATCTTTGATTTTTATCTAATGTCTCGTGGCCGATATAATGGCGTGTGAGTTTGAAAAACGTGCCGATGATCGTGTATTTGATTATTAATCGCGGTTGCGTCCACATTGGGGCGTTAAGCGTTTATCCGCCGGCCGTCAATAGTAACATTTTCGTAAGTATTTACTGTACATCTCCCGTTACGTTGACTTAAAAGATTTTCCTTGTTCGTAAAGCATCAGAACTGGCCGAGAGATATTATACAATAAAGGTGTTTTAACCGTAATCCGTGTCATTCTTTCATCGTAGTAAATTGTAAGGTGACATAACAATCCCATAATTCCATAGCACGTGGATGATGCACGTTGAATACGAACCTAACGAAATACGATCGTGACTGTACGTTATTGTTGCAACTTTGTAAGTACTGTACGTATTTTGTTGTAATAGAAATCGGTGATATTTGAAGTACGTTTTATTTGATGTAACAAATGTGAAACCACGAACTTTATTTTAGATATTTATTACGTAGAAATAACTTTGTGATAATGAGTATTCAATTCGAATTATTACGCATGAAATTTTGTACAAAGGCGACAGATTCGCTCGTAGTTTGTTATTAACGATGATCGAAAATTATGAAAAACTAGCATGCAGTTCCTTTCTCCTAACAATTCCGTTTCAGTTATTTTCTTCTTTTCTATCATAAAAATTGAATTACCGTTGCATTAACGTCACGTGTGCAGTTAATGCACCAGGGGATATGTATTAGACGTGATAAACGATCTCATCGACAAGGTCGTGGGTGCCCTAATTCATATAGGTTATTCTAATCGGTCGTGCTTCAATTACTCGATGAATAAACCATGCCACCGAGTTCACAATTTTCGTTTGCTTTGTGCAAAAAGTTATGCATATTTCCGAATCAAATACACATTCATATTTTTGTAAACAAAGTGGCTGTTGTGAGAAAAATCGTAAATTAAATTGTAAATTCCTGCAACATGTTTCTCTAGTTCACAGTAATGTCCGTAGATCTTTGTAAAGTTTCGTTGTGTTTGTATCTACCGAATAGTAGTTTGGTATTATCGATAACAATGTTTTTGTACTATCGTAATTGCAAAATTATTCAATGTATATGATGTTTCGAAGTTTTCGTATTTTCCCGCCAAGCGATAGTTACCGCTGGCGCCATCTTCGGAAGAGGAGGGAACCAGGTTAGTTTCGGGGGAATCCGGTAGGTGGCCAGCGACACGAGGTTCTCGCAAGTGCTCGGTAGGGTATGCGGTTTGTATATAAGGACGGAGCGAAGCGTATGCTTTCGGATGGTCCGGTGCTTCTCGGGAAAATCATATCACGCATTACGTGCGGCTTACAGACCAGAGACCACTTGATTGAATTGTGTCGTATCTCTATATGTACTGACGCAAGGTGCAGGTGTGTACAATTTAAAAAAACAAAAGCATCATCAAAAAAATGCTCTTAGATTGTTGTGTTTTCTTTGAAAACTTCTGTACCGTAGAAGCGAACTTGTGACTATCTCTTTTGCCAATTATTTTTCGTTCATTCTGTCGACCTCATTTTTATTTTATTCTTTTGCAGGACGCGTAACGATTTGTTGACGTTCGATGCTGTCGTAAAATTTTTAGACGTTGCATTAAAGATGCCTTGTACGTTATTAATATAAATCAGGTATTATTTCATAGTTGAAGAATGTTCCTGCACCTGTACAGTTCATATTTTTATGGACACGTTAATCAATGTTTCGAAACATGTTGCAAATACAGAGAACGTACGTTGTCGTAAATATATTTCATTTTTTAATTACCAGTCCAACATTAATTACATTATCACGAGTACGAAACTTTTAACGGGTTCTCTGCTGGCACGATCCGATTACGAAATTCGTATATTTCAGTTACAGAATCTAAACGGAAGAACAATTTTGTTTGCCAAATCGTACACACGTTTTCATCATTGGAAAAATATGTACAGGTAGCCCTCCTACAACACGATTAAAATAGTGAACCATAATGGCTTTACATGGAAATATATAAACAAATTACAATTTATTACATTAAGGTTGCTTTAAATTAAAATAATAATTTTCGTTTCGTGTTATACGTACATATATTTATATTTTTAATAAAAGTAAAGTTGCTAACGTAGAATTAACAAAAGAATATTTGTTTTTAATAGGTTTTTGGAACGTAACTGCCATTTTTATACTGGCTCTGGATCTCATACAGGGTGTCTGGCTACCCCTGGGAAATATTTTAATAATAGAGGCTGAAAAAAGACGAAAATCAAGAATATCAATTTGTTGATCGAGGCTTCGTTAAAAAGTTATTAAAAAATTCCGAATCGTTCTGGAAAAAATATTTCTAGTTGAAGGGGTCGATTGCAAGCATTTTTGGTGAAGTAACATACCCCCGAAATCTTATCCACTTTCGAGAAAAAAATTCGAGCAGGAGTTGAAATTTTTGGGTGAAAAAAAAAAATTTCGAATCGTTCTGGAAAAAATATTTCTAGTCGAAGGAGTCGATTGCAAGTATTTTTGGTGAATAGACATACCCCCGAATTTCTACCCAGTTTCGAGAAAAAAATTCGATTTGGTGTTGAAAATTTTGGGTAAAAAAAAGAATTTTGAATCGTCTTGGAAAAATTATTGTTAGTCGAAGGGGTCAATTACAAGCATTTTTGGTCAAAATACATACCCCCGAAATCCTACGCAGTTTCGAGAAAAAAATTCGAGTATGTACTAAAATTTTTAGACGAAATTACGAAATTCCAAATCACACTAAAAAAATTATATTTAGTTACAGGTGTCAATTGCAAGCATTTTTGGTCAAAAGACGTATCCCCGAAATCCTACGCAGTTTCGAGAAAAAAATTCCAGTAAATGCTGAAAATTTTGGGTGAAAAAAAAAATTTCGAATCGTCTTGGAAAAATTATTTTTAATTGAAGGGTTCAATTACAAGTATTTTTGGTCAAAAGACATATCCTCGAAATGCTACGCAGTTTCGAGAAAAAAATTCGATTAGATGCTGAAAATTTTGGGTAAAAAAGAAAATTTCGAATCGTTTTGGAAAAATTATTTTTAATTGAAGGGTTCAATTACAAGTATTTTTGGTCATTAGACATATCCTCGAAATCCTACCCACTTTCAAGAAAAAAATTCGAGTAGGTGTTGAAAATTTTGAGTGAAAAAGAGAATTTTGAATCTTATTGGAAAAATTATTTTTAGTTGAAGGAGTCAATTACAAACATTTTTGGTGAATAGGCATATCGTCGTATTTCTACCCAGTTTTGAGAAAAAAAATCGGGAAGCTGTGAAATTTTTCGACAGAATTGAAAAATTTTAAATCATACTAAAAAAATTATATTTATTTACAGGGTTGAATTACAAGTATTCTTGGTCATTAGACATATCCTCGAATTTCTACCCAGTTTCGAGAAAAAAATTCTAGAAGCTGTGAAATTTAAACGTTAATAACTTCTTAACGAAGCCTGAATTCAAAAATTACTATTCTTGATTTTGGTCTTATTTTGCCTCTAGAATCTCGCATTAAAACATTTCCCATTTTTCCAGGAAGCTATCCACCGTGTTATAGGAGGGCTAGCTGCACCAGTTGTAGGGTTCATTTCCGACAAAGTAAATGAAAATTTCATTGCGGTCACCCTGATACACGTGTTCGGAATCATTCGGTGGAGTTCGTTCGGTCCGAACAGGATGCTCGGCCGAGCATTCATCGAACATCCGAATACTTGGCCCATTGTCCGATTTTCAACACTTTTCTAACTCTAACGCTAAACAGCGCCGCTCGTATCGGAGGGAAGCCGCGGGATCGTACGTTTGGATGGTTTAATTTTAGAGTGTCGTCGTTGGCCATGACCACGAGAGACGGACACACGGGCTAGCGTCGGCAAGACGGAACGTGAAACGGTACGTAATATGGGCCGCGGCGTGAGACGAAGCGGGAGGTAAGAAAAGCCAAGCAGAAGGCGAGGAGGCCAGAAGCACCGGGTGACGAGTCTCGCGCATTCTCTCGGCCGAATGTGTCCGTTGCATCGCGAAGGTGCGCCAAACAAACGAGTCCCCGGACATCGATAAACCGCCCTTACGCGCGTCTACGATTCTTTTTTCTCTCTCTATCGATTTTTTTCCAGTCGAAAGGGATCGCGCCCGGCAGTTGGCCAAGAGATTGCCGCGTAAACCCCGCCGTTCCACGAGGCACGTAAAGGCATTCGCGCGCGTGCCACGCTCTGGAGGACGATCGATCGCGGACCATGGAGCAGGAGAACGGGGACGTGAAGCCGGAGGATCAAAAGGACGAGGAGGAGGAGGATGGCACGTTCGACGAGACGGCCAGCTTTCCCGAGCTGGAGCGCACCCAAACCGGCCGGAAGACCAGCATCTTCAAATATTATGCGTTCAAGGAGAAAGGTCAGTCGAGTCGAACCATATTTTCATCGAGAAAAAAAGGCCACGACTGGGGATAATAACACGCATTAACAAAAATTACAGTACTCGTTGTCCTCGATAGTAATTTACGACTGGAAACGGACCGACTAACTTGCAGTTCTTTTCAACGATTTTAGGGACTCCCCGTGCTTTGGTACGCGAATCGTCAAGGTTACCCGAGATATCTCGTGGCGTTCGATAAGCGGGACTCGACCTTTAATCGAGCCATGGACGATCGAAATTTTAATCGAAATTCCAGCGTGGTTCCCGGGAATCCCAGGACCGTTTTGTTAACCGTGTGGACGTCCGATTTTGATTTAGAGAGCAAGAGGACGAACGCCGCGGTATTCACGGCCGCGGCGGTGCATTAGTAATCTCGCCAAAAATAAAAGGGCACGGAATGACCAGCGAACCGCGTGCCGTGTGGCGTGACGTCCACACACGCTCTACGTGCATGCATTAGCATACCATCGTCGCGCGAATAACGATGTATTTGCGTATCTGTACGATAAACTATCGATTTATAGAAGATCTCTTCTATCAGGCTGTTACCCGCGGTGGGATCTTGCGCTACTAGTTCGATCGATCGTCTATATCGTCGCGGTCCAATTCCCACGTGCTTTCAACATTTACATTATCTCGGGTTCAAAGGTTCCTACGAAACCGATCTCAGGCTACGTTTCCCATTTACTTGACCGCTCGAAACTTCTAATCCTTTGTAAAATTGTTTACAACGTCCAAGTGCTCGTACATTTTTTATCCGGGGTATTGAGACACTCGAGTTTAGAACGCGTTTCTAAATTTTTATCTATGAATATCAGTCGAGATAAGGTAACTCTGTTCGTGTAGACGGAATTATTGTTTCGTCTGTTTTGCAATCGATGGTCGCGTATATGTATCGCCCAGGTGTATAAAGTCATCGCGTGAAGTATCACGAGATCGACGTCCTCGTGTCGTTCGGTGTTCCGTTGCCAAGCAATCCGAGAAATTCATTTCTGCGGTGCAGATGCATACGCGTGTACGTACTATGTATATCGATACACTGTGGGGACATAATCGAACCGGTTATTCGGCAGGAATACTCGCTGTTGAATTAAATACGTGCATTTTCTCGCGACCAAGGTAAAGAAATATTGTAAAAAGGAAAAAATGGAACGCGTGACATTAACATATATTAGTTTGGAACACTTGGTTGATGGATTCCTTGGGTCGTCCATGACAAACAGCAATTACCTGCTATCTGTAATTTGTGAAAACTAGGTAATAATATTTAGACTTTTGCATAGATAACTATTCAGTTCGTATTAATATTTAGTTTGCTTGCATAGTTATTTCCAATTGGAAGCGGAGTCACATTTGTCAACGGTTGTCGGACTTGTGGTCAATTTGAATAATTGTTCGGAACGACAGTTTACATCATGTAAAAATATTGGAATTTATTTTAGTCTGGAAGGAAGCATTATGCAAGTGTGTAATTACAGAAAATGTTAAGGGGGGTTTGAAATAATATTTCGAAGAGCAGCAGGAATTTTGGAACGACCCATTTATTTGAAAAAAAAAAAACTGTGCCAAGCGTAGGATAACTGGGTCACGTGCAATTGCTAGAGCTGTCTTGGTCTAATACTGTTTTTGGCATTTATTTTAGAGATACTTCCGTTTTACCGGAAACTCTGAAAATAAATTGAGAATGTTATTTGCCCCTTATATAGGGTGTTCGGTCATCTCTGGGAAGAATTTTAATCGGAGATTCTAGAGGCAAAAATAAGACGATAATTAAGAATATCAATTTTTTAACATTGATAAATAGTTATTAAAAAATTAAATTTCAAAATTTCAAATCGTTCTAAAAAAATTATTATTGGTTGCATGGGTCAATTACAATCATTTTTGGTCATCAGATATACCCACGAAATCCTCCCCACTTTCGAGAAAAAAATTCGAGAAGTTGTGAAATTTTTCGACAAAATTAAAAAATTTCAAATCGTTCTGGAAAAATTATAGCTAGTTGCAGGGGTCAATTACAAGCATTTTTGGTGAATAGACATATCCTCGAATTCCTACCCAGTTTCGAGGAAAAAATTGGGGAAGCTGTGAAATTTTACGACAAAATTAAAAAATTTCAAATCATACTAAAAAAATTATATTTATTTACAGGTGTCAATTACAATCGTTTTTGGTCATTACACATACCTCTGAAATCCTACGTATTTTCGAGAAAAAAATTCGAGAAGATGTGAAATTTTTCAACAAAATTTCAAAATTTCAAATCGTTCTAAAAAAATTATTATTGGTTGCATGGGTCAATTACAATCATTTTTGGTCATCAGATATACCCTCGAAATCCTCCCCACTTTCGAGAAAAAAATTCGAGAAGTTGTGAAATTAAGTTTCACAAAATTTCACCAGTTTCGACAAAATTAAAAAATTTCAAATCATACTAAAAAAATTATATTTATTTACAGGTGTCAATTACAATCATTTCTGGTCATTACACATATCGCCGAAATCCTGCCCAGTTTCGAGAAAAAAATTCGAGAAGCTGTGAAATTTTTCGACGAAATTAATAAATTTCAAATCGTTCTGGAAAAATTATATTTACTTACAGGTGTCAATTACAATCATTTTTGGTCATTAGACATATCCTCGAATTTCTACCCAGTTTCGAGAAAAAAATTGGGGAATCTGTGAAATTTTTCGACAAAATTAAAAAATTTCAAATCATACTAAAAAAATTATATTTATTTACAGGTGTTAATTACAATCATTTTTGGTCATTACACATATCGCCGAAATCCTGCCCAGTTTCGAGAAAAAAATTCGAGAAGCTGTGAAATTTAAACGGTAACAACTTTTTAACGAAGCCTCCATCAACAAATTATTATTCTTAATTTTCGTCTTATTTTGGCCTCTAGAATCTTTCATTAAAATTTTTCCCAGTCCACCCTGCATTTTAGGTGGGAATCGAGCGGACGTGCGCCTTAGGACAGCAACCCATGAAAGTAGGACTTTCCTACCCGAAAGTAGGGCAGGTGTTTCCGTCCAATAGCCTCGCAGTATTGCCGGTAACGATCTCTCGGCTGAGTTACCTAGATCAGGAGATAATTTTAGCATAATGATTTGCATTGAAACGGTACGCAAAGTTTTCATCGAAGGCATGGAATCCACCTACTCTCGGACCTGTCTTCGCCCAGTTTCGACGGTCGCGGGGGGAAGATCGATATGGCGATTCGATGCGTAGAGAAGCGAGACCGAAGAACAACACACGTGTGCACGAGTTATGCAACACGCGTAGACGCGATGGGCCGTGGAAAAAGTCCTTTGCCCGAAGTGTTGGATGCCTAGCGCTCGATAATGACGCATCGCGGCTGTAAATACGGACGAGCCTCCGCGGGGCTGGGCCAATCAGAGGCCACCGTTCCGTGACGTGCACCCGTCACGGTGCATTCTGTCGAAAGACGCCAGGGATTGCACACGTACGTGCACACCGTACTTCCGTGCACACGTCGCGTTGCACGTGCAACTGGACGGCACTTGGGCCGTGCGTGTACGGCTCCCACTGTTGCACGCCACCGTGACGTAAATTGAAACTACTCGCAACAAGGAACCGGGGCATTTTAACGACCCCGTACCCTCCGCGCAGTTCGCCACGGCCCCTCGGACCCGTATCGCGTGGATTTTTCTATTCCAAACCTCGTGACATTTTCCACGAGATCGATATTTTATTTTTAGTCAACTAACGTCGCTTAATCTAGAATTTCATTCACTTCACCTGCCTGTAAAAATTACTCCAACATAATGAATGTTAATAACGAGTGTTACACTAACTGAATGATTAACGATAATGAAATTTCTTGTAAGGAATGTATGCATCCAAGGTCGCAATTCCGTACACGTGTTCAAAAATTGTAATGTTGTTTGTATATATAGTACAATAGTATTTAATTCAGAGTAGATAAAAAGCGGTTGGAGTTCTGATAAACTTTGATGTTGATTAATTCCACGATGTCGATGATCGAACAAGGCGTTACGTAATTGTTTTTTTTAGCGGTATGTAGATAAAAGTAGGAAGCACCATTTGTAATCATCGGCTTTTATAAATACGGCGTTTCTACGCACATCACTTTTAATAGTAAATCTAGAGAAATGTTAAAAAAAAAAATGGCGACTGCAAATCGAACAAATGTTAGAAACCGTTTAATTCCACGATGTCGATGTCGATGACCGAATAAGGCGTTACGTAATTGTTTTTTTTAGCGGTATATAGATAAAAGTAGGAAGCACATTTGTAATCGTCATTTTTTGTAAATATGTGTTTGTACACACGTCTCTTTTAATAGTAAATCTAGAGAAATGTTAAAAAAAAAAATGGCGACTGCAAATCGAACAAATGTTAGGAACCGTTTAATTCCACAATGTCGATGTCGATGATCGGACCAAGGCGTTACGTAATTGTTTTTTTACGATAAAAGTAGGCATTATCTTTTATAAATCTCTGTTAATAGTAAACCTAGAGAAAGGTTGAAAGAAAAATGTCGACTGCGAATCGAAGAAATGTTCGAAACTCGATAGAATTGTTTAAATGACACGGCGATAAGCGTGTTGGAGACTGTCGACTAACACGGTGTCCCTGTAACTTATCTCGAATTTCACGATGGTAGACAGCGAGTTAAGAGGAGGATACAGGGATAATGAGCGTACCGCGGCCGGCGAATTGCGTCTCTCTCGTTTTCGACGTGCACGTTACAGCGTTACGATTAAAAAAGACGCAGGCGTCCGGGACTCCGGTCATTCCCGCTACATTCGTACAACGCGGAATCTCGCTGGTCGAGACCTCTTCCGGGTTGATGGTCAAACGCGTGGAAAAGTGGTGCGAGAAATAGCGCGGTGCTTCGAGGGGCCACTTGCACCACGATCCACCGGAGTGTCTCGAAATCGTTTCTAACAATATAATATTCTGGCGGTTCTTCGTGCACCGGAAGCCTCAGATTTGACCGCTGGGGTCGTCGACGCGTCGATTTATCGTTTCCGGCGGCGATATCAGAAGGCACTTGGATTGAACTTGGAAAACTAGCGGTTTATTTGAGTGCTCGGGTCAGTGAAACAGTCTCTATCGCCGAGTCGAACAGCTTTTTGCTGAAATACTCTGACAAGTATCCCGTGAGGGATCGAAGAGCATTTGTGAACCAACGTGTAACGCGTGGCCGTGAATTCAAGGTCAGTTTGATGATTGGTGCACTCAGGTAAAGTGCATCCGCGCGGAGTAAATTCTTTAAAGAATCTTTTATAGTCGACAGTCGCCTTTGAAAAATTTGATGATTACTTTGGAGTTCGAAGTGCGATAAATGCCACAGGAAATTGAGACGTTTAGGGCCAAGCATGTTGCAACATAACAGAGCGTTGTGAAAATGTTCTCGCGAATGGCCGATCAGTAGTCTTCCTATTATCGCTTCAACCCACGTGTGGGTCATCGAAGAACTTAATAAGCCGCGATAGCGAAAAATACCGAACATTATTTCATCAGTTTTTCTGTGGTCGTGACACGAGCATGACGGTATTGCATAAATGAGATTGTATGTAAATGGGAACGGAACCTCTATTGCCAGGAATTGGACAGATGACGGTCGAAATAATAAATCACGTTCCTGGCGTTCGGTGAGGGAAGAGAAGAACGTGTCTTATCGGGCGATAAAACTTCACCAGACTGTGGAGGATCCTGTGTTCCCAGTGTTCGTGCAACGTAAATTAAAAGATTGTTCTTTTTTTTTTTTCCAGATACAATGCCGAGCTCGTCGAAGAAACCGGGTCCCCTCGTTGGAGTAATTGACGTTGGCACGCGAACTGTTCGCTTTGTGGTGAGACATTGTCACAGTAAACCTCATGGCTGATAGACGTAGACTTCATTGGCGTCCATTTTCCCTCTGAACCTTTGTTGATCATAGAACTGGTCTAAAGCTAAATCACTATTCGTGAATAAAACAATCCAACTAATCTACTCGACAGATGTGCTATAACCGCGAACGGGGATTCCCCCTCAACGGTAGATTCCCTCTAACACGTTATTGCTTTCAACAGGTGTTCAACGCGAAACACGTGAACGAAGTCGCGTCCCATCATATCGATATCGAACAATTCAGTCCTCAGGAGGGATGGGTGGAACAGGATCCCAGAGAGATCCTTTTCGCGGTGAAGGCGTGCATCAAGGACGTCGTGCGGAAATTCGACGTCCTTGGACTGAACATGGAGGAGCTGGTGACGATCGGTATCACCAATCAGAGGGAAACGACCCTCGCGTGGGATTCAACGACCGGTGAACCGTTATACAACGCCATAGGTGTCTATCACAGATAGCAATATCGATTTTACATGTCGGATGAGTCGTTGATGATCCTCGTTTGTTTCAGTGTGGTCCGATATAAGAACAGTGTCCATCGTCGACCAGATAATCGCCAAGTTTCCTGATCAGAGCAAGAATCACATAAAACCGTTGTGTGGTTTGCCGGTCAGTCCCTATTTCTCAGCGCTGAAGATCCGCTGGATGAAAGACAACGTGCCAGCGGTCAAGAAAGCGATTCGCGACAAGAGGTGCAAAGTTGGCACGATGGACACCTGGATCGTCTGGGTACGTATATTGCGTCCTTGGTCAATTGTTGAGCATGAGAAATGAACATTCATCCGCCAGAGAACTCATTGAAAAATGCTTGCAGAATTTAACCGGTGGCAAAGATGGCGGATTGTACATCACTGACGTGACAAACGCCTCGAGGACCATGTTGATGAACATAGAAACCCTCTCGTGGGACCCCACGTTGTGCAGATATTTCGACATTCCTATGCAACTGTTGCCAGAAATCAGGAGCAGCGCCGAGATTTATGGGGACATCACCATTGAACCCCTAAAGGGCATCCCCATATCAGGTGTAAGTTACTCACTCGTCTTCTTATGGGCTAGAATTCCTACTGATGAGGTAATTTATCTATTTTCAGATTTTAGGAAACCAGCAGTCCGCCTTGGTCGGGCAGAATTGTCTGAAAAAAGGCCAGGCGAAGAACACGTACAGAAGCGGATGTTTTTTGCTGTGTAATACAGGAACGACTGTAAGTATCATAATAAAAAGGTTGATTCGTTTGCATATGAATTGTTTGAATATATTTTAGAGGGTGTATTCGTCCCACGGGTTGGTCACGACCGTGGCCTATCAGTTGGGCCCAAAAAATCCGGCAGTGTACGCGTTGGAGGGCTCGGTTGCTGTTGCGGGAGCTGCCATTAAATGGCTACGCGATAACATGAAGCTCATAAAAGATGTCCACGAAAGCGAGCATCTAGCCCAAAGCGTGTTCAGCACCGGTGATGTTTATTTCGTGCCAGCTTTTACGGGACTGTACGCTCCATATTGGAGGAAAGACGCTAGAGGGTGGGTAGCGATCGTTTGAATCCCCGTTTTTTTGCGATACAAACGCACACCGTGTTGAACGAGTATTTATTTTAGAATTATTTGCGGTCTCACCGCGTTCACCACGAAGCAACATATAATAAGAGCATCGTTGGAAGCTGTGTGCTTCCAAACAAGAGATATTTTAGAAGCTATGTACAAAGACTGTGGTTTTCCATTGACCAAATTACAAACGGATGGAAAAATGTCAACCAACAATCTTCTGATGCAGTTGCAGGCAGATCTTTGCGGTACACCAGTATGTAAGTGTGGTCGAACGAGTATCTTCTAAATGCCAATAGAATTGCACGCTAATTTTTCTGTCTGCTATCAGTCAGGTCAACTATGCCAGACATCACAGCGTTAGGAGCAGCAATGGCGGCCGGTTCTGCCGAAGGGATCGAGGTCTGGGAATTCGAGGGCGAGGAAGTAGAAACAGTAACGACGGATACGTTTCTGCCAACGACTACTCCAGAAGGTAGGAACGGTGGAAATTTATATTTAATTTATTATATATTTAATTTTTCTTTCCAGAGAGAGATGCTAGGTATAAAAAATGGAAGATGGCGGTCGAAAGAAGCTTGGGCTGGGCGGCAGTTAAGAGGTCGGACCAAATGACAGGTAAATTTATAAATATTGGGGTTAAATATATCGATATTGATGATAATCGATTCCTTGGAATTTTATTGCGTTCCCTATAAAAATAAATATATAACCTACTAAGCGAATAATTTGAAAATGTTTCAGACGAGAGATACTTCGTTCTGGCGTCGATCCCTGCGAGTTGGTTCTTAATGGCGAGCTTCGTCTTACTACGATTAAGTTATTATTTCGAAAGTCGGTGACAGCACGTTCACGTTATCGCAATGGAGATCCAGTTAGATGGCAGGTAGCCTATATTTTAATTGCAATCGCAAGTAGAAACAAGGCTGTCGGAACTTAATTATCAATAGTAGATCAGACCTGTCGACATCAGTAACAAATTTACAGAACAGAAAATAGTACAAAAAGTTTGTTCGAAATCAGTAAAAACCACTAATATTTAAGCTTGCCGACAAAAGGTTCAATAATAAATTAAAAGAAGCGCGATATGACAGAACGAGGAGGCCGAGCAAGCAACTGATTTTCACGGTAAACGTTTCAAGAAAAATAATAGCAATTCGAATTCAGACGATGATTCGTTTTTTTCCCCGCAAACGTTCTATCGTTAGTCGATACAAGATAACGTGGTATTTCATGAAGCATTACGATCAAAGTAGGCAAAGTACGAGGTATAGAACCGCGTCACAGTTATGTATAATTATAAGTGTACAAAGGTTCCCGACCTATACGATTTATTAATTAAATCATTATCTTTTAATATTATTTCAATGTGTCCTCTTGTATGTATAATTTATTCATTATATTGCGAAGAAATTTTACATGTACAATGTTAAAAATTATTGTATCATAAAAGCGTACATGGAAATACACGTTTGTCTTGTTGTACCGGTGTGTTTGTTCTTCCAGTATTGGTACACGGGTCTATTTATTTATTTATTTATTGGATGTGGGATAACGCACGTTTGAATCTCGTGAAATTCGCGACCCCAAACGGTTCAAATTGAGCGCGCTACGGCAGCGCCGCCAAGCGTCCGTGGATGGAATTAAATGCATAATTAACGAGTACGGGCACGCTTGGTCATGTCAGTGTCGATTCGTGTGGTTGTCCGCTGTTGTCAGTACGGTGTAGCAAGTCTAGGATGCGGTATCGCGTAACGTTATGGTGCATCTCGTGGCCGCGACTTCGTGAGAAGGTCGTCGACGCAGTGGACGCGTCCCGCTAAAGGGGAAATGCATTGTACCGTATCGCGCGAGTGCGTACCAGGGCTAACCTAACCGGAGGCTTGTTTGTTGGTGATTCTTACGAAGGTGTGAGTGGAAGTGTGCGCGAGGGACTCGCGTCGAAGGCGAGCACCACCACCACCACCAGGGAGTCCCCGGTCGTCGGAGGGATATGCACGCGCACGTCAAGATGTCGTCGGGAGGACACAGCAGTCGTACGCGCGCCGTGCACATAGGTTCGATATTTCAGAAGCTCCACGGTCGGTTCGCCGACCCGATGACACTACCGAAACTCTCCACCGACAAACGAATGTTGGATAAGACCTGGAAGCTGATGGACAAGGTGGTGAAGCTCTGTCAACATCAACGGATGAATCTGAAAAATTCACCGCCGTTCATCCTTGACATCCTGCCCGACACGTACCAGCGACTAAGACTGATATACAGCAAGTACGAGGACAGGATGCAGGTGTTGCACAGCAACGAGCACTTCTGCGTGTTCATAAACAACCTTATGAGAAAGTGCAAGCAGGCGATAAAATTGTTCAAAGAGGGCAAGGATAAGATGTTCGACGAGTCGTCCCACTATCGTAGGAACCTGACAAAGCTGAGTCTCGTGTTCAGCCACATGTTGTCCGAACTGAAGGCCATCTTTCCGAGCGGTGTGTTCGCCGGACACAAGTTCCGTATCACCAAAGCGGACGCGGCCGAGTTCTGGAAAGAAAGCTTCGGTATCAGGTGCGTACCATCGATCCACCACCTTTTCCGTTCTTCCCTCGTCTCGATCGCGTAAACAGGACCACACTCGGCCCGCGTGTGCCTCGCGACCCTGACGTGTGCGTAAAAACGAATAATAAACGCGCGCTGTTTGGGGCTCGCACGTGCGCACACCTAACCTAAAAACGACCTCACGTCTCATTGATATTGACATTACCTATCGCGTAACCGAAAACCGGGACGTGTCGGCTCGTGTGCAGCTGACGGCCCGTTCGCGAAATGTATTTCGCCGGACCGGAAGTGTTCCTTTTCACGCGCGAACCGATATACAGGGTGTACCAAAATAGGTGAACATGTCTCGGTTCTGACACTTGTATTTTCTTTCTCTACAAAAAATCTGTTGGTTTTTCGATTTATAGATTTACAATGTCACGACGATAGGTATTATCGTTTGTTTCGAGATACGGACACGAAAGTATAAGATTTCATTTTCCTCGATGATAACGTTAATTCATTTGAGCGTTATCGCATTTCTGACGTTAACTTTCAGTGGAACTATCTGAGTGTACTTGAAAAGAACACGATGCTTACTTTTACTTTTTTTTTTTTTAAATTGATAATTGATCTATGGGATCGATTCGGATAAAACGAGTCTGGAATGGTCTCGAATTTAGAGTAGTGGGTCAATTCTTCTCGTACGCCGACATATCGCGAGGTTCTTTCGCCGGACGGACCATGCAGCGGCAGTCAGTCATTCATGAATTGGCTCGAACTGCTCTCGCCGTTTATTTATACCGGCTGATAAATCGCTACGCGGCGGCACGTAGCCGGCCAGCACGGCGTCATGACGTATTCCAGTAAAAGTAGGTGTGCGTATGATTTGTAAAACGATACCAAACGAAAACAATCCCAACCCCTTCACCCCCCCTCGTCCTCTTCTAGTCTTTAGAGCGTTTGGTCAACAGTAACCTGGAGAACGAATTTTACAAAATCTATAGTTATCGATAGGCTACTATGATACTAGAAAAATTAATTTTTAAGTAGTAAAATAAATTTTCGGTTATGTAGCTTACAATTGTGTAAAATCAAAATTTTCATCTTGTAGAACGTTATGCAGTTTTGATCTGAAAGTGGACGTGTTAAATTTTCAGATAACGATCGTGACTATGACTTTGGAGACTTAAGACTCCATTTGAAGCAGTTTCTTTCGGTCTTGAAGTTCTACCGTTAGTCGATCGGTTAAATTCTTTTGTCATTGGACCGTGTTCCTGGTTCCCCGGAATCGTGAGAGGATTTCCTTTCTTTTCTTCCGTACCTGCGACCAATGGACAGTAACCGACCGACAATGGTCGGTAACGGTTCGTCCTGACGATTTACACGGTTCGACGCTCGGTAACGAGGTATAAATGGAATTCCGATTACATGCACCGGAAGTAGCTTTGCGCTAATACAGGCGGTAACTGTTCGCCCGGCGGCGTTTCTAATGAAATCACGGATGTGTTTTTATCGGTTGCGTCGCGTACCATTTCCGATATCGTCGAACGGAAACGCGTCATCTTTTCTTCTCGCTGCGAACTGAAATCACACGTCGTAAGTAAACATTATCGTTCGTGTTATTATCAAAGTTTAGTCATTTTTTAATTTGTTCAAAAGTAATGGAACAGTTACCTACGTTCTTTATTTCAGACCCATGGCGTACAGAACAAAGCTCGGTTCGCTGTGACCCCGTTAATGGAATCTGCAATTTAGCAAATAGCCTTAGTCGCGACGGTGACTTTTTCTTGGATTCAATGAGTTCGCTTAGACGCTGTGCACTGATTTACGTGTACAGGGTGTTCACCACCCCGGGAACAATTTTAATGGTTGATTCTGGGGACCAAAATAAGACGAAAATCAAGAATATCAATTTGTTGATAGAGACTTCGTTGAAAAGTTGTTAACGTTTAAATTTCACAGCTTCTCGATTTTTTTTCTCGAAACTGGGTAGGAATTCGAGGATACGTCTAATGACCAAAAATCCTTGTAATTGACCCCTGTAAATAAATATAATTTTTTTAATATGATTTGAAATTTTTCAATTTTCTCGAAAAATTTCACAGATTCCCGATTTTTTTTCTCGAAACTGGGTAGGAATTCGAGGATACGTCTAATGACCAAAAATCCTTGTAATTGGCCCCTGTAAATAAATATAATTTTTTTAATATGATTTGAAATTTTTCAATTTTCTCGAAAAATTTCACAGATTACCGATTTTTTTTCTCAAAAGTGGGGAGGATTTCGCGGGTATCTCTTATGACCAAAAATGCTTGTAATTGACCCCTGTAAATAAATATAATTTTTCCAGAACGACTGAGGCTTCATTAAAAAGTTATTAAAAAATTTCAAACCGTTCTGAAAAAATTATTTTCGGTTGCAGGGGTCCATTATAATCATTTTTGGTCATTACACATTCCCCCGAAATCCTACGCATTTTCGAGGAAAAAATTTAAAACTTCAATCTGACTTACATTTTACGTATATTTGAACGAATTTAAACAAAAGTTTTTTTTACAAAACTGCATGAAATTGCATATTGTTTCATTGTTGAAATTCATAATCAACACTATATACTTTAGTATTAACAGGGTGTTCAGCCTACCCTGGGGACAATTTTAATGGGGGATTCTAGGGTCCAAAATAAGACTTAAATCTCCCATTAAAATTTTTCCCCAGGGGTGGTCGGAACACCCTGTATAAGGACGTGCTAGTTTCGAAACAAACTACGTGGACATTAATTTTGTCGTGTCGCGGGGTTAATCCCGTTCGCGGGCGAAATAAATAAATAAATAAAGAGCCGCGCGACGCAGACGGATGCTTAAAGTTCCACGGGTTTAATATAACCGATTCGCCGGGCCGCATAAAGTATTAATATTTTATCGTTTCCCAGGAAGCTTATTCTATTTTCAGCCAAGTATTTTCTAATTTCACCGGGCGGGTTTCGAGGTAGACTAATGCACCATCGTGTTCCGTTGAAGTAAAGTCTTCGTCCAACCTCTTAGAATCGTTCCTAAACCTAGAATCGAGAATCGATGACCCACAGACAAAATTCGAAACTTCTGCATAACCTAGTAGCAGAATAACATACCTCAATAATAGGATCAGCATTCCAGAAGATTAGTTCCTGTGTGCCCCAGAATATATAGGGGTCGCTGATTCTTAACGAAAGAACTAACCTGAAACCTGTGTGCTGTCCAATATTTTTCGTAAAGACGTGTGTTATTTTTGTCGTTCTGTAGCCTGTGGAACACAAATCTAAATAATAGGATCAGATTAGTTCCTGTGTGTTCCAGAATGTAGGGGTCGCTGATTCTTAACGAAACTAACCTGAAACTCTCTGCTGTGCAATATTTTTCGTAAGGACGTGTGCTATTTTTGTCGTTTTGTAACTCGTGTAGCACATTGCGTTTCCTGGTAATATAAGTGCCCACGCGTTCTTCGAAGGAGGTTAAACAGGAGTGGAGCATTATCGGAGAACCATTCCTGCTCGGAACGGTAGGATGCGGGCGATTGCAGCGCGATTAACATGCGGCGAGCCGATTCGATTACGCCGATGTGCGAACTTTCAGTTTCCGGTCAAACGATCCGGGGACATCCGGTCGCCGCATGCGCGCGCACCGTGCCGTACACGCGACGCTGGCACTCTTTAAATCGAGCATAACACCCGGATTCACGGCGCGTTTAATTCGACCGTGGATAAGATAAACGTGAGCTTCGATTCGGTTTATCCGTACCGGAAATAATATACAAAGCGATTTTAGTAACCGAGTTCTACGTCTCTCTTCCAGGCAAAGATAGAAGAAAAAAAGATTATTTCATAGTACAATAGAGGTCGTTCAACTACACAAAATTTTCCATCACTTTTTTCCTATCTACGCTTCGAACGTAGTTCCGGGAATCACCCTGTGTTTATCGTCATTACGCCTACGCGATAGCTCGGAAAAATCAGCAGTCCGATATAAATTTACTTCCGTCGTGGGCGGGGGAAAAAATACAGGGTGTCCCGGGTGATGTAATCCGAGCGAAAAATAAATCGAGAACACGCAGAGGCGCGTGGTAATTTTTTCTTTTTTTTCTCTCTCTCTTTTTTAACACCGTCGTTGGAACGAATTTAAATTCGTGTTCGGCGTGGAAGCGACCGCGACCACCAGCTCGCCTCGCTAATGGATGTTTTCAGTGATGAGTGTACCGGAAGTCGGTGGCAAGGGGTGAGCTTTTATCGAAAAGGAGACCGAAGTCATCTATCCGACGCATAGAACGGATCGTTGTAGTGGAGCCGGCGAATGTATGGCTGCAGAATCTTCTCTTCTCTTCACGATACGTATAACGATATCCGGATGTGGGCTGGGAAAGCCGTATGAGAAAAAAGTGGTGAGGCAGAATGGAATCCAACGAGGTTGAGCATTCCGGTTTCTTGTCTCCTACGATTATTTCATTAACGTGTCTTTTCTTCCCCCACCCTTGGGTAGATACAGGTTGGACCATTTAACGTCCTCTTTTAATTCGTACGATTTTTATCAGTCATATTTACTGTCGAATATTTTAGGCCTGCCGTGCGACGAATTGTTGGAACACCCTGTATTCGAACCGTCGGTGTATCAAGCGTTTTCGTGGCGGGGCGTCCCTGAATCACCGAATTACCGCATCCGGCCTAAAACAAGACCGTTAATTCGACCCACGTCGAGCTCGCTGGGTGATCGATATATGTATCGATATATTTTGAATTCCGTTTCGAGTACGCATCGCGGGCCCGGTGTGTTGTACGAGAACACGGCTCCTGTTTATTCACGAGATATCGGGTATCAGGTGCAAAGCTCTGGTGTCTCGTAAACTACGCGGATGCAATATGTCGCTGCGAGGTACAATCGGCTTAGCGTTACCATGCAAATACCGAGCCTCCATTGCTTCTTTCCAAACGCAAAGATGGCGTCCTCTGGTCATCAAATCGTTTCCATAGTTTCGGAATTTTCAATCCTAAAAAATTA